AAATATATAGTATGTTGTCAATGTAACTTATCTCTAATACAACAACAAACTCTGTACCGCATCGGATTTCATTCCCTCGCTGTAGCATACCTGTTTTTTTTCTGCAACCTCGCTGCGTGCGCATCCTGAATGTTTACAAACCAGTAATTTGTCTATAGGTGAATTAAAGAAACTAAATTGGCCTTAGTGTATGAGCGTGAATGTGATTGTGTATTGGTGTTTCTCAGTTCTGGGTACAAAGATATGCTGGAATAGTTGGCGGTTGATTCCGTTTTAGCGAAGGAAAATGAATGATTAAATAATGTTTTATATGTTACTAGTAAAGCTGCCGTTTTTGTTTCTCTGCTATTAAATATGGTGAGGATGATGATGATGATGATGATGATGATGATGGTGTGCATGTGTTTCTCATGGCCGTGTGTGTGTTTTTTTCTCTCACAGTTGGCAGCTCTGGGAATGCCTGCGAACAATATTAGTTGATGAATTGAAGGAAGCCTGTCTGCTGACAGCTCTGAGCAACTAGATCTTGTTTTAGCATTAGATTTATGACCACTGCAACCTGCCAGTAAATATATTACAGCTTCTTACAAGACTAAATGGCGGGATGAAATTAAAACAGGACAATAGATGGGCACATCCACATAATTACTTGCAGCATTAAATCCTGCTTGGCTGTGCATTAACGATTCATTGTGCCTAATACCTTTTGTCCTCCAAGAGTTGTTTTTCTTTTTTTCTTTTTTTTGGTCCAAGCAGAATTTAATTTTGTCGATTATCTTTTGGAACGCGCCAGCATAGAGTCATCCTTTGGCTGCCTTCGGTACCATTAAAGCAGACAGATGGAATTGAAGTCCTTTGGGCCTGTAAAAGTAATTTCTTCATACCAGCTACTAATGTCGTCTCAGAGCTGTCATATCGTAATTTCTCCAACATATTAGTCTTGTGTAGCCAGACTTCGGGCTGAAGTGTGGTCCACTTAGCAGTTTATTCTAGCCAGGATTCGACTAACGCATAACACCTAACTACAGGTCATTTTGTTTCTGGTTTAGGCAGGATAAAAAAATGAACTTGGTGTGTTTCCACTGGCTTAATGGCAGTGCAGTGCAGCAAGGGTTTTCAGTTTTTGCTGGTAATAGTCTGGATGATCCTTTTCTTCTTTGGTCTGGAGCACGCAGCGTTCATTTCTCCTTAATAATCTTCTGACCACTGTACACATTTCCACTGTGTGATGGTCCATCCCAGATGCCTCCAAGCCCAGAGAAGTCGATGGTGCTTCTGGACACTGTTAACATAGGGCTTCCAATTAAGAAGTGTCCCAACGGTCCCAACTTTAATGATATGGGGTTGTGTTTGCAAAGACTATCGCTATTTCTCCAACACGTTAGTCTTGTGTAGCCAGACTTTGGCCTAAGGTCTGGTCCACTTTGCAGTTTTATCTGGCTAAGATGTGACTAATGTGTAATGCACCTAAATACAGGTCATTTTGTTTCCGGTTTAGGGACGAGGCAGGCAGGGTAAATGAATAGTTCGTCCAAAAAATCTAACTAATGGTGTGTTTCCACTGGCATGATGGGAGTGCAGTGCAGCAAGCGTTTTCAGTTCATTCATATAGAAGTTGAGTATAAAACACCCACACAGTGCATTATGGGATTGAAAGCACCACAGAGAATGTGTTGAGAGTCCAAATTTTGGACTTGTTGCTGGTAATAGTCTGGATGATCTTTTCTTATTTGGTCTGGAGCACACAGTGTTTATTTTACCCAAAAATACTGCTTCATCTGACCACAGTACATTTTCCACTGTCTGGTGGTCCATCTTGGATGACTCCAAGCCCAGAGAAGTCAATGGTGCTTGTGGACACTGTTAACATAGGGCTTCCAAGTAGGAAGTGTCCCAACTGTCCCAAATTAATTAATTTTTTTTTTGATGTGGGGTTGTATTTGCAAAGATTATCACAATTTCTCCATAAAATTAGTCTTGTTTAGTCATACAATGGGCTAAAGTATGATCCACTCTGCAGTTTATTCCGGGCAAGATCTGACTAATGTGTAATGCGTAACTAACTACAGGTCATTTTGTTTTGGGATGAGTTTGTCAGGCAGGGTAAATGAATAGTTTACCTAAAAATTTTACTTACCCTGCATCCACAACACCACCAGCTAGAGTGTCAAAGTAGATGGAAGTCATTTCTTTTCAATAGGAGGCTTATGGTAATAAGCTATGACAGGGGTTCTCTATTTCAGTCCTGGAGGTCCGGCGTCCTGCAGATTTTAGCTCCAATCCCAGACACACCTGGCCTAGCTAATCAAGCTTTTACTAGGCTTTCTAGAAACATCCTTGCAGGTGTTAAGGCTAGTTGGAGGTAAGATCTGCAGGACACCGGACCTCTAAGAATGAGTTTGAGAACCCCTGAGCCATCGCATAGTTCGGCAGAAATCTATCAGAATGTACTAGTCCAGTGTTTCTCAACCATGTTTCTAAAGGACCACCCGCTCTGCACATTTTCCATGTCTCCTTAACCAAACACACCTGATACAGATCATCAGCTCATTAGCAGAAACTGATAGACCTGTAATGAGTGTGACAGACAAAGGAGACCAAAACATGCAGGGTTGGTGGTCCTCCAGGAATGTGGTCAAGAAACACTGTAGACTAGCACAAACAACACAAAAGCCTTGCTACACAAACAGCTTTTAATTGGTTTATTTCATTAGAAAACATGTAAACATGGCAGGGCAACCGTAGCAACGCTAACAGAGGGAATTCTGATGCGTAAATTTGAGCCTGGCCTTCCATACTGTACAGTAGTGTTGGATAGTGGCTTTTATTTTAAAGCTTCCAAAAGCGCATTAATCCATGGTAAGACTAGCCCATTTGCAAAATGAAAATTTAAATGACATGCTTTGTGGTTTAATAATTGCACATTGGTCATGATTTTGTTTGTTGTTTTCCAGAGTGAGAGTTTTTGACTTGCGGACTGGCTCATCGGTGCTCTCTTTATATGCTCATCACATGGGTGTCACAGCAGTCCAGGCAGATGATTGGAGGATTGTGAGTGGCGGAGGCGAGGGATTGGTCATTGTGTGGGAGATGAGGATAGGAGCCAAACTCTGGGAAATGCACAACAGGTGAGAGTGCATGTTCACTTTATTTTTTAATAAATCAAGAAAAATTAAATTAATAAAATGAAGAGAATTTTATTTCAGATTATTATTTAATATCAGAGTTTAGATATTTTGAGGTGCTTTGAGGTGTTTTGACATAAAGACAGGGGTGGGGCTTATTTTGTGCTTCAAAATGCGCCACACATTCTCTATTGGAGACAGATCGGGACTAGAGGCAGGCCAGTCAAGTACCTGGATCCACTTCCTCCACAGCCAGGAATTTGTAATGTGTGCGAATGTGGTTTTACATTGTCTTGTTGAAATATGCATGGACATCCATGAAAAAGAAGGCAGCATATTGTGCTCCAAAATCTCCATGTACTTTTCAACATCAAAGGTGCCATCGCAGAAGTGCAAGTTACCTAATCCCCTACAATGACAGACCCTGACTTTTGGACTTGTTTTTGGTAGTAGTCTGGATGATCCTTTTCTTTTTTGGTCCGGAGCACACAGCGTACACTGCTCCCCAAAAAAATACCTGAAATGCTGCTTCATCTGACCACTGTACAGGTGTGATGGTTCATCCCAGATGGCGCTGAGCCCAGAGAAGTCGATGGCATTTCTGGACACTGTTAACATAGGGCTTTCAAATTGGAACTGTGCCAACATTTTCTGATTTGGGGTTTGTATTTGCAGTTAAAATGTATCAAATGGAAGTGTCAAAAGACATGATGTGTGACCCGATCCGAGTCTTTAAAATCTCTTTGAGAGCATTGGTACAGCTGCGGATATACTGTGTCTGTAGCCTTCAGTGTATTCATGTTGCTAACTTTGTTTTTGATGTGTCAGAAGGCAGAATTCTAGGTCATACCCATCAATTGCGTAATCCCCATGGACCAATGGTACCTCAAAGTTGTTTAGGAGCCAAAACAACTTTGGTGAGCTGTTTTGAACTGCCGAAACAAACTCAAAAAGAAATTATGGTGCGTTCAAAATGAGATATATCGCACTCTGTAAGGGAAGTTTGGAGTAAAAAAATAATAGCCGCCATATTTAAGTGTCATTCAAAAATGAAGTGATCAGAACTGGCCATTTTGCAATTAAATATTTTAAAAAAACAACCAATGGACACTTTGGGAAATTTTCCTTTGAGCAGGGAAACTGCTTGGTGTAACTCAGTTCAGAAGAGCTCATCCCTATGCTCTAATCCCTCTAAGAGGAACCCTCCAAAGGAATAAGGGCATAGGGATGATCCCCTCTGAATGGTATCCACCCTTAGTTTTGGCTGGATTTTGCTCGAAATTATGTAATTTCAGTTCATTCTTTGATTTTGTTTGTTTTGTGAAGTGTACAGGGGCCTTTAATGTTGATTTTGTCGTGATGTTTACATTACATTTACATTTAGTCATTTAGCAGACGCTTTTATCCAAAGCGACTTACAAATGAGGACAAGGAAGCAATTTACACAACTAAGAGCAACAATGAATAAATGCTATAGGCAAGTTTCAGGTCTGTAAAGTCTAAGAAGGGAAGTATTAGTAGTATTTTTTTTTTTTTGTACAGTTAGTGTGATATTCAGAGAGGCAATTGCAGATTAGGAAGTGTAGTGGAGACTAAATAGTTGAGTTTTTAGTCGTTTCTTGAAAGTAGCGAGTGACTCTGCCGTTCTGATGCAGTTAGGGAGTTCATTCCACCAACTGGGCAGATTGAGCGTGAGCGTTCGCGAAAGTGATTTCTTCCCTCTTTGGGATGGAACCACGAGGCGACGTTCATTCCCAGAACGCAAGTTTCTGGAGGGCACATAGATCTGCAGAAGTGGTTTATTTTGCAGTTATTTTGTTTTTTTAAGCACTGATGACCCATGATTGTTATCTGTGTTTGTGTGTGTGTGAACAGACACCCGGTTCGGCACATTCGGTTCAGCAGCAGCACACTGGTGACAGCCAACATCCCTGATGAGAAGAGTCCCCGCGGGGCCTGCATCACAGATGATGACCTCACCGCTCACCGCAGGTACACACACACACACACACACACACACACACACACACATACACACACACACACTACTGGATAAACTGCGGTCTGTGCTGTTGTGTCTCCAGTAGGCTTATGATGGTATCAGATTTTCTTTAATTACTGTAACATCCCACATAGCAAAATATCTCTGACCCACATAATCAGCTTTTGCTTGGCCCACATGTTGCAGTGAATTACGGTACATGACTGGACCAAGTCTAGCTTCCAAACAAGGGCCAAACATGCACCATATCTGGACCAAGTCTCAGCTAAGTTAATAACCCAGAACTGAGCCTGAACTGGGCCAGATATATTGCTGTGAGGACTGCAGGGAATTTCAAAAACCTATGAATCATTGCACTTTAGGCATGCTATGGGGCTTGCTTTTTCTCGAAGCGACCTTTTTTTTCTTTATTTGAAAATAATTAAAATGTATTTTAAATGTAAGTCAAGATAGGCCAAACTCACATGGCCCATAGTTTTTTAACATCTGGCCAAATAATACATTTTACATCTGGCCCAAGTATTCTGTGCTTTCACACCTGCCTTATTTAGTTCGATTGAATAGCACTAGAGTTCATTTTCCCTTTTGGTGTGGTTCGTTTGGGCAGTTGAGAATGCAGCAATCGTACTCGAGTGCGCACCAAAAGCGGACCAAATAAGCGTACCGAGACCTGCTTGAAGAGGTGGTCTCGGTACGCTTTCAAATGAACCCTGGAACGGTTTGTTTGTGGTGATTTGTTTGTTTGTGATGATAAATGGTGTTATCTCGATATTGACTTAAGCTGCAAAATACGTTACTTAAAAAAAAAAAAATGTTTAGTGTATTGCTTTATTGTATATACCTGTTCAATCATGTAAACAAATTACATTGCAAAAGGATGATAAAGTACAACAGGGTAACGCTTCACAAAAAAGTCTCACTAGACATTAACATTATTTAATGCATTCAAATTGACACTTAAAGTCTCCCTCTGAACATCAGGACTTCTCCATCATTGGATGATTTTTAACTCTTGTGTATTGTTCAAATTGACTACCCTTTCATTATGTTAGGGGCTGTTTTTGGCCCCATTGACTTCCATTATAACCACATTTTTTGATTGCAAAGTTTTGACAGCATATAATCATGCATTCTTGATTGTTGCTGGTTTTCCTGTTGGGAAGAGGTCAAATTTGTAATTTTTACTGTCAGTCATCATCACCCCAGAGTGGATGAAAACATCCCCAACAGCACACACAAGGGTTAAATAAATTTGTTGGTTACCATAAACCGTAAGGGTCCTGTATGTTTATGACCACAAGAAAATGGGTAGCAAATGATGTGCTAGCTATTTAAGTTGGATTTCACCGTATAGTCCAAAAAATATTAATAAAAACAGTTCTGACTATTTTGACTGTAATGTAATATTGTGCACCTTTTGTGAAGCTGCTTTGGAACGATAATTATTGTGAAAAGTAAACTTGATGAAGTTTTACAAACTAATTTTGAGAGGAGCATGTGATTGACTGCAGCTGGTCCCTATCGCTAATCATTAGCTTGCCAATTGGATTATTAAGAATTGAACATGAATATCCAGCCCAACTTTATTCCCTATCTTCGTTTTGGAAGACACCCACCCATCTATCCCTTCTTACTCCTCCTCAATTATAGGATCGGGCAACATGGTGGCTCAGTGGCTAGCACTGCTGCCTTACAATAAGAAAGTCACTAGTTCAAGTCCTAGCTGAGCCAGTTGGCATTTTCTGTGGGGAGTTTACATGTTCTCCCCATGTTTGTGTGGGTTTTCCCCGGGTACTCGGGTTTCCTCCCCCAGTCTAAAGACATGTGACACTAGTGAATTCAATAATGGTAACAGTCACAAGCACTTAATACGTACGCACTGGAGTGGTTGGTGGTCTATTCCTATAGAACCATCTTATTAATCAAGATATAGGTCAAACAAATCAGGGGGAGCTCTCGAGAACTACCTGACCTGCCTTGGGCTCATCTATCTCCGAGCTCAGGGTTCTCTCCCAGGAGAGCATTACAAACCTGCTAACATCATCAAGCAATATCTAAGTGTCTTTTTCTTCTTTGGCCTTAGTCCCGTATGGTTGCAGGGTCAGCTCTTTGGAATAAGTCCTCTATTTAGACTTGTCCATATGATAAAGACTTTTTTTTTTACACATTCCGGCCGGCCTGTCATCTAGGCCTGTCACCCTCATACACTCTTACACTACGGACAATTTAGCCTACTCAATTCACCTGCAGCATGTCCTTTGACTGTGGGGGAAATTGGAGCACCCGGAGGAAACCCACGCGAATGCAGGGAGAACATGTAAACTCCACACAGAAATGCCAACTGAGCAGAGGTTCGAACCAGCGACCTTCTTGCTGTGAGGCGACAGCACTACCTACTGCACCACTTTCGCCCTCAAGCAATATCTAAGTGTGAACTCCTGAAATATTTTAAAGAGCCCATGATATCGATGTTGAGAATATTGTGCATTATCACGATATACTGACCTTTGAATATCATCATATGTCTAGTCTCCAGGATTCAGTGTGCTCTTGTGTTGTGTGTGTGTGTGTGTGTGTGTGTGTGTGCAGATACCGAGGACTGATCTGTCATTATGATTTCTCCATGGACTCGTCCAGTCAGGATCACATTCTGCCCATCTGCAGGTCCAACTATGCCGAGTCCTCCGGCTACAACTATAACATCGGCTTGTCCATGCCTTACGACACACTGAGCGGCCCTTAGACTCCATGGGGCTCTTGGATGACTGGTATTGCTACCTAAGGACAATCTGGGGTCACATCGCTTTAAAGTCATTTTAACAGTAATGTATGTGTTTTATGGCTAGATTATAGATATATGCGTGGCTGTGTTAACAGGCCATTTCAAACACATGCCTTTGATTCTACATTTAGTTATTTTACTTATTGTATCATTTTCTGTGCCTGTACATTTTAGTGTACAGTGATATTAGATCTCCATTTAGGATGATAAAGAACACAAATGATGCAAAATGAAGTTTTGTTGGTTTATTTACTGTCAATAATTCAACAGACAAAACTCAGTCATTGATTGTTTGGGATATTTATAGTATTAGGTTTCTAAAATAAAAGAAAACGCTCCAATATCGATTTGTGGACCTTAAATCAGGTTTATTTTGACGTATATCCATACAGTGGGCATTATAATGTGTATCCTGTAACATATGCCGTGCACAAACAGTGCAAAGCTAAACGTGTGTATGTGTTTGCGCATACTTTATAATGACATAGTTTGTGACTCATCGTTGCAGAAAGGCTTGAATTAACTCTACATCAAATACCAATAGGGTTCTTCCTGTAGTAAGGGAGATCTGCTTCATTCTTGTGTGTCACTGTACTGTTTATGTACTTGAAGCCTTCACGCTTCAGAGCAGGTAACAAAAACTACTACACTGTCCAAACAGCTCAAATTTCCCAGATTCTGAAAGGTATAATAAATAATCTGATGGGTGTTTTGAGCTGAAACTTTACAGACACATTCTGGAGACACAAAAGACTTCTCTTAAATTTTGAATGAGGGGGTAAAATAGGTGCCATTTAAACACCCCCCCCATGTTATTTTATTAAATGAATCAGCTTAATTAACTCACTGTTAACACATTGCTAGATTATTAAAGCAATTAATTATTAATTTCTTATGTACGGAAATGAATTGTTAAATGTAAAAGTATTCATCTACTGTATGTGGAAGCTGCATTCAAAAAGACTCAGAAGAAGCACACTCATTCCATCAGGACATTTTCCTAATTTGGCTCTAGCTCCAACCACAGATCCTAACCAAATATGGAATGGGAGGTATTTTATAACCGTGCATACACAAGATTCATCATGTCAGACAGAAATACATCCACAACAGATCAATCAGTGCGCATTTAAACTGTTACCATTTAATCTCTCCAATCTGAAAGCGATTTGGACTTGATTGCTTACACTTGAGGATTTGAAATGACAACAATGTACAAAAATATGACTGATATACGCCATCGCTATAAAAACTCCACACCATGTAATATACAGCATTGTATATTAATAAATAACCTTGATTGAAGGAAGCCAGAAGGATGGCATATTACTAATAAGAGGACACGAGCAGGAAAACAGACTCTCCCTGCTGTTTTTCTGAAGTGAAAGATAAGATTTGGGGATTCATTAACTCAGGGTGTGGAGTCAGTCTTTCAGCACTGCTTTGTCAAACCAAAGAAAGCGCAGATTGTTTAATTTGTGAAAATTCCTCCACTATAAAATTCCTAATAAAAATACTGTATACTCATGAAAGCATGTTCAAGAATAACCAGGCTTATCTGGGTATATACATCTCCTTCAAATACACAGTATAAAGTCTCTAAAGTATGTTTCATTTGTCCCCGAGGTCTGGACTATAAATGCATTTCCCAGTGAATGTCACGCTCACTATGTTTAGCACTGAAGATATGGCAGCGAAAATCAATACTTGAATCCATGGGAGAAATGCTGCTCTAAAGCAGAAGTTAAACTTCATTTCCCACAATGCATCGTTCTGGTGTCCAAGTTCCAAAAGTGAACGTTCATCTTGGTCTCGATCTCGATGTCTTTTAATATCTGTGGGAGAGATGTTCAGATGTGAGTTGTAAAGGAGATATACGAGGAATGTTTTGTGTATTAACTGCTTTTGTTCATTGGTAGTGGTTAAAAAAATATATATAGGTCTTCCCCAACTTCTCAGGTTTTTTATGAAAGCCTGTAGAGTAGAGTAGACTGCTTTTTTATGTTTTGTATTCGGATTTAATATTTTTTTTTAATAAAAAAATCTAAATCTAAATGTTTAGAATATTTAAAAAAAAAATCAAAGTCTAAATGTTTTTAGATTTTATTTTTGTTTTTTGTTTTTAATTAAAAAAAAATCGAAATCTAAATGTTTAGATTTTTTTTGTTTTGTTTTTTTAAATAAAAAATTAAAATCTAAATGTTTAGAATTTTTTTTGTTTAAATCGAAATCTAAATGTTTAGAATTTTTTTGATTGTTTTTTTAAATAAAAAATCGAAATCTAAATGTTTAGAATTTTGAGAACACATTAAACTACTTAAAAAGTTCAGGATAAGAAAGAATTGTGGTGTTAGGCTGCAGTCACACTGCACTTTTCTTCCCATAGAATTCCATTCATACGCACTCAAACGCGAGCACAGGTTTCGCAGGTCGCTGCGTTGCAAAGTTCAAGCTTGGTGAACTCTGACCTGTGAAATTCCATCACATGACTGCGTGAGACCAATGGAGGATCACAACATGACATCTCTGGACATGAATTTAAAATATAGACCAATCAATTGCTTTTTTAAATGTCTACTCCCTTTTCACAGCGCTGTATGCCAGAATTTCGCAAGCTCAAATTCACCGGCCACTTTATTAGGTACACCTGTCCAACTGCTCGTCAACGCAAATTTCTTATCAGCCACATGGCAGCAACTCAATGCATTTAGACATTTTCAAGACGATCTGCAGCAGTTCAAACCGAACATCAGAATGGGTAAAAAAGGTGATTTAAGTGACTTTGAAGGTGGCATGGTTGTTGGTGCCAGACGTCTTGAGTATTTCAGAAACTGCTAATCTATGGAATAAAATCACTGTCATAAATATTTCATGCTGAAATAAAATTCACACATCTGTTATTATAAAAACGCCAAGGAAAACGGAACATACCCGGAATTTTACAAGGGTACAGTTCCAAAATCTGTGATTAGAACAGACACAGATACGACATTTTCTTTGTCTGTGTGTATATGACTGATAAATTTATGATGGGTGTAGTTTACAAACACAAAATACAGTTTCACCACGGACACGAAGACCTGATTATGATTGCGAATCAAAAAACGTCACTCCACAGTCAAAATTACGTCACTTCTGTCACAGGCATTCTCAAACAAGCGAGAGCCATCTATCTCTGTGCAATCGAGCCCCCACACACTATCTCAGGTAAGATTTTTGTTATGCCCTCTTTGAGAAATGTCTGTCATGAGCTGTAATAAAAGTTGAGACTTAATGAGGTCCATTTTCGCTGTGTTTCTTGGATATTTTACAGAATCAAAATTAAGATCGTTTTTTTTAACTTACAGGTTTTTTTCCCACCGCAGCCTCAATTTCGCTGTTTAAAATGGTGGCCATGTGAAATCAGCCTATTGAATTTTACTCTTTGATACCTGTTAATAATCTGAAGGTGTTGCTAGGCGGGTGCTAGGGTGCTCTGAGTGGTTCCTAAGGCATTGCTTTGGTGTTTTCACAATATGTTAAGGTGTTGCTAGGCAATTGCTAAGGTCTTCTAAGTGGTTGCTAGGATGTTCTGAATGGTTTCTAAGGCGTTGCTAGGTGATTGCTAAGGTTTTTCTAGGCAGTTGCTAAAGTGTTCTAGGTCATTGCAAAGGTGTTGCTAGGTGGTTGCTACAGTGTTCTTAGTGGTTGCTAGGCAGTTGCAGAGGTATCGCTAGACAGTTGCTAAGGTGTTCTGAGTAGTTGCTAGGCAGTTGCTAACATAAATTATCATGGTTCTAGTATGAAATAACATGTCACTAGCATGTTTCTAGTATAAATTAGCATGTTGTTAGCATTAATTTGGTAGGAATTAGCATGTTGTTAGCATAATTTCTGGCAAAGAGCATAGAATCACCAAGAGGCGACACTCTTGTGCAATTTGGGAAACTGCCACTAGTGTCACTCGGCGGCCATTTTGGAATGAAAATTCCAATAGCACAACAGCATATTATAAGTCTGTGAAATAAACTATTAAAAGTGCTGATGATTGTGATAGTAAGTGTTGTATTGTCGTCTTTCAGGGTGTATCTCAGCTTTAATGCGCTTTTTAAATTAAGAAGTAAAAAACAAAGCAGCTGCTTGCCAGTGGCGTAGCGGACGGGCCCGCAGGGCACGCACCGCGGGGGGGCCCCGCGTCGTCACGATTTTCAATAGTTGAAAATCCAGCAACCGCAATAATCAAACTCTTGGGAACAACTGTGGTCGGAACCAAAGTTCACAGGTCTGTTTTCTCTGAACACCTCTCAAGCGGTGGACTACTTTATTCTGATTGCTTGCCGCCAAACCGCGTCATATCGTAGCTCAAAGTTGACTTGATTTGATCTCTCCTTGACGCTCACACACCGGAGAAGACGCGTCGCGCTGTTTCTCGCCGCCGGTTCTCATTGAAAATGAATGACTTCTGGCTACTTTGACGCTCTCGCCGCTTTCGGTTTGTGATCGCTCCTCAGTTTGTGAAGGCTTCCCCGCGTTGTCGCTCCACCCCGCCTGCCTTCCCCGCTCCTTAATTTGTGATCGCTCCTTAATTTGTGATCGCGCCACCAATACATCAGGGGGCCCCGTCAGTGATCCCTGCAGGGGGGCCTCCGCATTTTGCGCTACGCTACTGCTGCTTGCCATCGTGACAGAAATAAAATCCAGTCGACAGCTGATCGCTTTCACTCAAAAATGGCGGAATCACGGGGCTGTTGCTGAGCGCTGCTTTTGCAATGGAATATTCTATTGAGTGTCGCCTCTTGGTGATTCTAAGCTCTTTGATTGTAGTATAAACTGGCATGTTGTTAGCATTAATTTAGTATGAATTAGCATGTTGCTAGTATGTTTCTAGTATGGATTAGTATGTCGTTAGTGCTTTGTCCAATGTACTGTACATTCAATGGCAGTTTTTTTTATAAGTCTATGGAACAATTGCTTGGGTACATTAAGTGGTTGCTAGGGTTTGGCTAGTAAGTTGAAAGGTCATCAGTGATTGGCAGATTAGTAGTCTGAGTTAAATGAGCCCGACATTAAGTCTGTATGACAGTCTGGCGCAAAGTTATGAGGTCACAAAGTTTGGTCCAATGTTAAGTCGATGGGACTTTTCAGAATTTTCCGGCTCTGTTATCGGAAACCCATAAGTTGGATCAGTTAGAAAATATATATCAAATTGATTCAGTATAGTTTGGAGGTTTGGAGTTAGTTTGGTGGTTGTAAAATGAACGGTCTAAGAGGAGATGCGTTCTTAAAATAGTCTAAGAAGAAGACGGAAGAATAATATGTTTATATACGTTTAACAGTATGATGCCTTTCTCAAACCACCATAATAATATAATAAACTTGTTCACAAAACGGTTCTTTAAGAATTGATCAAAGATTTGTTTGCACAAATCATGAATTATGAGTGTAAATTAAGTTTGTTAAACGGCAGTCTACTCTGATTGGTTAGTGAGATTGACTGATTGGCTAGTATGTATGCATTAACATTACAGGTGAGGAGAAAGCAGCATATATGCTGACGTCATGAGACAAAAACTCTGGTAGCTACATTAGGTCAATTTTTACACTGCCTACAAACACTGCCACACAGTGGGCGGAGCCACAGTCATTCCAGCTGACAGTGACATCACATGCATACCCTCTATATAACCATACAGTATAATCGTACAGGTATAACCATACAGTCATAATTATACCAACCTGCATAAACTGTTCAAAGGTGATTCCTTCATAAAATTCATCGGGACTCTGAAGCAAAAAAGAGACAATCAAGATCACCAGGTATCAGTTACAGCAGGGGTGTCCAAACTCAGTCCTGGAGGGCCGGTGTCCTGCATAGTTTAGCTCCGACTTCCTTCAACACACCAGCCTGGAGCTTTCTAGTATACTTAGAAAGAGCTTGATTAGCTGGTTCAGGTGTGTTTAATTGCAGTTGGAACTAAAATATGCAGGACACCGGCCCTGCAAGGACCGAGATAGGACACCCCTGAGTTTAGAGTCCCATAAGACTTGACAATAAAAAATGACTATATTTAAATCAGATGAATGTATAATTGATTCAAGCATGACAGATCGTACCATCCGACCCACTGTGACACTGGCCACCTCCAGCATTGCAGCGTCTGAAATAGCTTTGGCCGTTTCTGCTTCAATGGTTTCATAGCTGGACAGAAGCTCCTCCACCACCTACAGTCACAAACACGGATAGATTTACTGACATTGTGTGAATTACCGAATACAGACGCAGCCGCTTGTTTACATAATGAATAATGCAATCACAAGACAGCAGCACAAATTCAAAAATAGGTTGTTTTGGTAATCCATAAATTAAAAAGTCTTCTGGCAAATGTTTACATTTATTAACTCTTCTTAAAAATTATTTTCAATGTGAACATTTATTCATTTTCCTTCCGCCTAGTCCCTTTATTCATAAGGGGTAACCACAGCGGAATGAACCACCAACTTATTCATATGTTATTCATATGCATATGTTTTACACAGTGGATGCCCTTCCAGCTGCAACCCAGTTCTGGGAAACATCCATACACACTCATACACTACGGCCAATTTACTTTACTCAATTCACCTGTACCGCATGTCTTTGGACTGTGGGGGGAAACCAGAGCACCTGGAGGAAACCCAATGCAAACTCCTCACAGAAATGCCAACTGACCCCACCGAGGCTCGAACCAGTGACTTTCTTGCTGTAACAGTGCCAACTCAGGAAAATTTGATTACAACAACTACTAATAGGCTGTCAGTAAACATGCCAAACCAATAATCAAAGACCACAGATTTTAGCCTTGGATCATAGCAATCTTTTGGGATTTCCAAAATCTGTCTCTCGACCCCAGTTTAGCTGAAATTTCACAATGTATGCCAGGCTTAAATCCAATTGACCAGTGAACAGATTTTTTTTTGTACATTTCACTTCACCTAAAATAAACGTCAAAAAAAAAATGAATTTTTAAGATTGTATGTGAAAAGTTGTCCAGTGTATTTCTTACAACTAGAAATGTAAGATCGAATATAAGAGTTCCACCAAAAGAAGGTTGCAGTGGTGCAGCCTGTTAGTAAACCTGGCCTACATGGCCCGTTTTCACTGAGTGGTACGGTTCAGTCAGCTTTTATAGGCGTTTCCACAGTCAAAAAGTACCAAAAAGCAAATCGTACCGTGACACTTTTTGGGTATCCTTTCGCAAGGGTACCTAGCACAACAAAAGGGTACCAAAAGGCGGAGCAAGACACAGAGCTGAACGCTATTGGTTTACAAGGATACGTCACTCGCTCGTGCAACAAGCCAGGAGTATAAAAACAAAGGAAGTGCAATTTTTAAATACACTGCTGAGACATTACACCGTAATAATCTATACATATAATAACAAGCCACGGTCGACCCGAGCTCAAACAAAACATGTTGTGGCCTTGATGAACAGCCCCAAAGCCAAGAAGCAAATCTACCCTATGTCCCATAGTTGTTTACAAGGCCGTCTAAAGTGTGAGCGGTTTCAAATTCTTGCGTTTGCTTGCTTGCACGTCTATATTTGAAATAACGAACTTCTTGTGCTGATGATAATAGCGTGCGTGTGATTATTGAAGTGCTTCTGACATTTGATCCTTTCAGAAACGGACAAACATGAGAATAAAGCGTGAGCAAATGATTCTTTTAGCAACCTAAAGCATGAACAAATTGCCATGTTTACTATTATCATCACCTTTTAGACTATTATAAACTCGGAATGATGGATTTGCTTTCTAACAAGAGGTTACATAAGCTGCTGAAGATTAAAGATGCAGATGAGAGGTTTGCACTGACTGTGGGCTAAATGTTGCATGTCGTTTTTGAACCCAAACAAGGACTAAATGTCTGCTGTGTGTAGTTTTTCTGTAATTGGTAACATATCAGAGACTGTAAGGGTCTGTATGTGTTCATATATGCTGCATTTATTTCTGTTAAGTTACAGTAGACTATTTCGCATCATTGATCTGCAGTTATAATCAAATCATGTTGATAGAAAGGTTAGTAATGAACATTTATTTAAGTATTTATGTGTGTAAAGCATCTGTTTTGATATATGAACGACCTGTACAGCTTTACTTTGACATTTCCTCGAGCGAGAATGACCGTTGACTCTTTCCACTCAGTGAAAATGGACCAATAGTGTTTAAACCAAGCTAAACCCAATGTTTTGATTTAGTAGCTAAGGATATGATCTCAGTCAGACATTTTACTACAACTGGCTCATCCCCACTGACAGTTTAGGTTTAGGGGTGGGGTTTTGGGGGCGCGCCTTCTTTTAAAAATTGTACACTTTCTAATTAAATCGGATGAATTAGCCACTTTTCTGACAATTCGTAAAATAGTCTCACTGTAGAATTGGGCTGCTTTAAACATGTTAACAGTACATAAAGGAAGAAGTTAAATAATTCTTACGCGTCTGTATTCGTCCAGTGTGATGACGCCGTCATTGTCAGTGTCGTGCATGTTGAACAGAACTACAGAGAAGAAAAGATGACCTTCTGTCAAACTGTTTTATGGTGGACAATCAAAAAAAAACTTACATGTATAATTAAAAAGAAACATAACCCATTTTCCAAAAATTGTTAATGGAATATTTGTAAAATGCAGTAAAATTGGCTGATTAGTTGGTTCTCTTTAACCTTTTTTTCAAATTGACAGAGAAAATATAAAAAAATAAAAATATTAACAATATTATTCATTCATTTTCCTTCAGCTTAGTCTCTACTTGAGAGGTCGCCACTGTAAAATGAACCACCAACTGTTCCAGCATATGTTTTACTCAGCGGATGCCCTTCCAGCTGCAACCCAGTATTAGGAAACACCTATACACACTCCAGACACACTCATACACTATGGACAATTTAGCTTACCCAAATCACCTACAGTGCATGTCTTTGGACTGTGGGGGAACCCGGAGCACCCAGAGGAAACTCACGATAACATGGGGAGAACATGCAAACTCCACACAGAAGTGCCGACTGACCCAGCCGGGACTCAAACCAATGACCTTCTTCTAGGCAACAGCGCTAACCACTGAGCTACTGTGCCGCCCTAATATTAGCAATATTAATGTTGTCATTTTAAAGTAAGATTGTTAAACATGCCTCAACTCTTTTTTTATAGTTTGTTGCAGCCATTGACATCAAAATTAGTTCATATTTAGAATTACTATATGAAAACATTTTCTTTGTACATTTGTCAACTAAATAAAGGTTAAAGGTGCAGTAGGAGATTGTCTTCAGAAGCATTTTTTGTTGTGCTGATTCAGTCTCTTCACAGTCTAATAGTAATGATTTAAGTAAATGATCTAAATGTGTTTATATTTATTTTTATATTTTGGGTAAGGCATAAAACTAAAAAATGTTTATCCAATTAAATAGAGTTGGGGCGACATCTCTTTTAATTCTGATAAGTAGCCCAATCTGTCTGTCAGCAAATGCAGATTTGAACAACTGCGCAGCCGTTTGTAAGCATCTCCGCCGACCGCCGGGCGTTCTCGAGAGAGAGCACCCACGCGATCGGTTAAAACCTGCTGAATCAAAACTTTTTTGAAAACCTAAATCAATATTGGAGTTACCTTTGCATGCTGGAGAAAGGATGCTACATGTCTGAAGGATTTCTCTTAGACAGGTAATGTTCTGTTTTAAAACTGTTTTAGCTTCACGCAAAGCTGATGTAACGTTAGATGTTGTTGTTACAAATGGGTTATATCTTCACAGAAGTGTTGTTTAGCTACTAAAATCTTCCGATGCAAGATTGATAAGACTATTTTCAGTTTCATAAGGGACCTTTATTAATAATAATTAGTTTAACAACAGACCACAAGTAAAAACCACTATTCTAAACTCTAAATATTTGCTCTGAAACAGCATGTCAGTTTGGCTTGCACGCCGCCGGACAAGCACTAGTCGCTTTTAACACATGAGAGAGGGTTCTTTTGCTGTGCTTGTGTTTAAGGAGGCGTGGCTCTAGACGGCAGGGGAGGGACTTTGATTCAGAGATTTATGCTAAGCTGTTAGCATTGTGGAAGATCACCTACTGCACCTTTAACGAGAATCAACAAATAACATATTGATGATGTTAGTGCATGTTACACAAATGTTCCAACTTATCCTTATACTTGTTGTATTATAATACTGAGAAAGTGAACTTAAATATTCTCTGAAAGGAGAATAAATTTTCAAAGGGACACATTCAGTGAAGCCTAAAGTTTGTTTGGATAATTTTGATTGTATCCATCATGTCGAAGCATGTTGAAGTTGCAGAAACATGAAAATGGGGCTCATGTTGAAAACCTTAACATTAGTTTGGAGGATTCAGATTGTATGTATCATGTCAGAACATGTTAAAGTCATAGTGAAAGCCTGCAGGGCTTCAAATGTTATCAGCTAAATCAAAAAGCACAGTGGAGAGAGTTTGAGATGTTTTCTTACAGCGAAGTTTCTCCTCCTTGATGGTTTTCTTTTTGTCCTCAGCCGTGCGTGGTTTAGTTGGTCTGAAGACAGACAGGACTGTGACAAACTCTTCAAAACCAATCTCCTGCAGGCAGCCCTTCTCATTCTGACCCAAATTCCTGGAGAACACACAGATTTATTTTATTATTTTGTTTTGTTTAATTTAATTGTATTTTATTTTATTTTTCACAGTCTGTTTCAGTGGTTTATAAGATGTAGATGAAGACATAAAATGACACAAATATTTTTTTTATTGTTCATTAATTCATTCATTTTCCTTCGGCTTAGTCCCTTTATTCATAGGGGGTTCGCCACAGTAGAATGAACCGCCAACTATTCCAGCATATGTTTTACGCAGCAGATGCACCCTCCAGCTCCAACCCAGTACTGGAAAACACCCATACACACTCAAACACACACTCATACACTAAGGCCATTTTAGTTTATTTAATTCACCTATAGAGCACGTGTTTGAACTTGTGGGGGAAACCAGAGCACGCGGGGGAAACCCATGCAAACACAGGGAGAACATGCAAATTCCACACAGAAATGCCAACTGACCCAGCCGAGACTCGAACCAGAGACCTTCTTGCTGTGAGGCAACAGTGCTAACCACTGATCCACTGTCACCCTTGATTTAATATTATTATTTTTAATTCCCCACAGTCTGTCTTAGTGGTTTAGAGGACACAATAGAAGACATAAAATGGGACAAATCTTTATATTTTATTATTTAATTTTATTTTTTAATTTGATTTTATTCCCAACAGTCTGTTTTTAGTGGTTTAGATCAGTGGCTCCCAAAGTGAGGGTCGCAAGATAATAAGTGGGGTGGGGGGTCGATTGGAGATTTCCAAAAATATCATATATGTTATTAAATAGCCATAGTTTTTCCATAACCTAAAGAAGATAAAAATAGTATTTAATAGTTACATTAAAAAACATCATGCAAATAAACAGCAATCAGCCTTTCAATTCTTTTTCCATTGAATTGCAAATCCTGGGGTTATTACGCTACATGAATGACACAGCAACAGTATGGAATCAGATTAGTCTCAAAAGAAATTCACGCAAAAGACACGATGTACACATGCGTAGCCGTGTACACATGCATAAAATCAAATTCACGTGCGTAAAATATTTATTTATATTCACAAAAAATTTTCACGTGCACAAAATAAAAAATACATTTTCATAAAATACGTTTCACAAATGCAAAACACCATTTGCAAATGTATAAGAGTGTACAAAAAGTGTTGAATGTTTAAAACTTGCGAGTTCATCCTGAATGAGAATGTGCTAATCCTCTTTCACGTACGACTCCCCCTGGATACGTGTGTGTGTGTATTATTGAGACTTTCCTGGCAGAGGCTGGGCAACTCGTACCTTTCAGCCAATCAGATGAGAGCTGTAGTCAATGACACCAACTCTGCGCTTCATTTGCGCAGACTGTTTCTCTCCAGCAAGGCGAACGGAGAAAGCAGCAGTCGAACTTTTTTTCATTTATTTAATTATCTGACCATAGCCTCACTCTTTTTATCCATTATTTTGCAGCAGCTCCTCTTTTCTTATTTATTGTCTCGTAGCCTGCAGAATGATGAATTATCATTCCGGCAACACGAGCACAGCAGTACCACTGTGGTCTAGCGGTCAGCACCTTGCGTTATGTGTTCACGCCGCTGACCCGTGTTCGATCCTCACCTGAGTTGAGCTTTTTTTTTTTTTTTTCATTTTTATTGTTAAGACATATAAAACTGTAAGGCTGTTGAACATTTGAAGTTCTAAAGCAGCTGTTTTCTTTAAAAAGACTTGATAGTGTCATTAGAAACTGAATTGGAAATGACCTTATTTTAATATAGTCAGTCGTGAACTGAGGTGGGCCGGTCGAAGGCTTGAAACTCCAGTGCTGAAAAGGAGTCCCACTCCGGCCCTGATTATATCCAATGAATGTAAACAAGCTGCTGTTGTGCTTTAGTAATATACTATGTAGAAAATACCCCATCATTCCGTAATAATTATATGAATAATCATTTTAAATGATGCTTATGAGTATATTTTTGTTTATTAAACTAGAATGTAGAAATTTACAATGAAAATATGACAACATAAACTAAGTGTTTATTTGCTTATCACGAGCTGTAGTAAACTTATTTATCTCCTTTTCCCAGAAGGTGAAAATCGGGCATAAATCGCGTTAAAACCCATGTAGTCAGTCTGCCATCTGTGGCAGTGATATCTTTCTGTCTGAAACGTTTTTCAAAGTCATCTGGTGAGATACTCTGTTAAATACGTTACTAGGACGGTATTCTGTGTTAGCTGTGCCTAAATGTTTACTTACTGCTGAATGATCAAAGGGAAGGCCCTTTTTCTTTCGTCCCGTTTTCTCATGTTTAATGGATAGTTATAAAGGGGAGAATTTTTAGTTTAATTTACGGAACTTTATTTTCAGTTTAGGTAGGAAATTTAATATTAGGCAGCGTACCTTGTTTTGTTTGTTGTTTTGGTCTTTTAGTTCCCTGGTCCTGATACTGAAATATTTGTTTAATAAATCTGTTACCCCTTTTGACAACTTGGCCTGTGTGTGTGCTTGTGGAGCAGGAAAAGGGACTCCAGGTGACCTCTTTTAATAGTGGTCATCCTTAACCTTATGTGCGTAGCGAGGTGCATCCGCTACGTAAAGTAATGTTTTTTATTTTTCACTGAAAATGAAAGGAGTTATGTTGTAGGCTCTGTTTTGTTTTTAATTTGCATACAGTGAAGATGAGGCTCATATGAATATGCAGCTACACGATGCCTCAGCATTTTTGTTGTCTGTTAAGTTGCTAATATCAAAATGAAAATAGGCAGTTCCTTATATTAAGTTTTCATTTTATTGTTAAGAAAGTAAAACAACGTAGCCAGGGTGATGTAAATGAGGTCATAAAGCACACTGTTCCTATTGAAGATTTACCTGACGTGTCCTCTGGAGTTTGTTTTCTATATCAAACTTGCAAAGTCTGAACTTACAAGGAGAGAATGCAAGACTGAACTGTGTGTAGGCTACTTAAAATTGAGGGAAAAGCCCCAATCAGATTTGTTTTCAGATGTCTCCGTTTCCCCCTTCCACACTAATGATTTAGAATGAAAACGGCCTTTTTTGAAAACTGGCGTAGTGTGGACGGAAGGCAAAACTTATACGTTTTAAAACTAAAACATATTAGTGTAAACGGGCCCTTAGTTGCAGCAGATTGATTTTACGGCATCAATGTTAGATTTTACACCTTTATGGCACTCATACATTAAAAATAAAGGCCATGACTGAACATGGAGGATGATCTCCAAGTGGCGGTCTCCAAAATTAAACCAAGAATAGACTTGTGCTGTAAACATTGTGCTCACCATTCTCATTAAGTGAGGTTAATATTAAATTAAACAATTGAATGATGACTATAAAAAATGATATGGTCGTTAAACTTTGCAGCTGGAAGGGCATCCGCTGCATAAAAACATATGCTGGATAAGTTTGTGGTTCATTCCGCTGTGGTGACTCCAGATTAATAAAGGGACTAAGTCGAAAAAGAAAATGAATGATTGTCACCACTGAGGATAGTGGGGGTCATGACTTGCGAGTCACTGGAATTGTTCTATTGGGGGTCACTAGCTGAAAAGTTTGGGTAGATGACATAGTTGAAGATATAAAATGAAACAAATGTTTTTCATTTCATTGTATAATTTCATAAATTTTTTCTTTTACTCCCCACAGTCTGTTTTTAGCAATTTAGATAACACAGCTGAAGACAAAATTGTTAGTCCTCATGTGAACATTGAATTCTGTTTCAAATATTCCCCAAGATGTGCTGTTTGACGGAGACATGTTTTTCATCACTACTTTTAATAGCAAATTTTTAACAACTAATTCAGTTTGTCATGTCTTTCCAGTCCAGGTTTTAAATGTTTCTCTATAGTAAAACGGGCTGTTTCTCAATATGCGTTCTTCAGCGGTCTTGCGTCCTCGTGTTCTCGTGCAACGTCATCATCAGTTCCAATACTCAAGACCGCAAGTACGGAGGACGCGTGAAACTTCCCGGATGTGTTCTTGATATCGAGGACGCAACGATGCAGACTTGAGCACCGAACTCGCTCTGGAAGTCCCAGAAGTCATTGCGATTGGAGGTGGGAAGCGCAGAATTTTATTTAGATTTATTATTAAAGTTCACAGAAACGCTAGTGGGCAGTGAGCTGTTAATGTTCCTCTGTGTTGAGTTTCTTCTCTGCTGTTTTGCTTTTCCTGAACACTTCCTGGATGTACAAGTGGCTCAAACTCGCTCATTTTGAGGCAGGAACCGGCGGACGAGCAACAACTTTAACTATGAGGTAAACACAAAACAAAACTTTCCATCCGGAGCTGCTTCACAGGACTCCACACTTGTAAACAATCACTTGCGCGGCTCTGGGTCCCGCCCAGACTCGTCAGCGCTACCAAGCCGACCAATCACAGAGCTTGCGCTACGCGTTGTTGCGACATGTAGTTACATTTTTTGGGAGGTGCACGTCAGCGACGCCGAAGGGCTATGCGTCAACGCCGTAGCATACACCGGCAATTGACGCAGAAGTATAAATCAGCCTTTACTGGGGCTTAAGGATCCACACAGACCACAGGTTGAGTGACATCTGCTGGCCCCACTAAAATCACTTCCAACAGCAACCTAGTTTTCCCATGTGGTCTCCTATCCAGGTACTGACCAGGCTCAGCCCTACTTAGCTTCAGTGAGTAATCGGTCTTGGGCTGCAGGGTTTTTGCTGCCGGTTTTCTGCCGTTTGTTATTCCGATTCAGTTTCCTTTGAGAGAAATGACTAGGAAGTTCTAAAACATCGCAAAAACAAGCGCACTTCCGCATTGAAGGGTAAGGTCAATAGTTTGATATCCGAAAAATGCAAAATAAAATGTGAATAATTGTTGTAATATTTAAATGGTTAATTTTAAAAGTTAATTTGTAGACATTGTCAATGTCTAATTTAAATGTTTTTAAGCTGTTCATTTCAGAAACAGCCAATGTCCACATTTAAATGCATAACAGAACACGTTCATCAAAACTTAAACATTAAAATGATTACAAAACAGTTTTTTTCGCCTTCCTTTACTCACCTTTTGTCAAAGAAGGCCTCGATGATCTGCCTCTTGATTGGATTGAGGGCCAGATTAGTGAGATTCTCAAGATGTTCACGTCTGAAATTGACAAGAAATGTGTAATTATTATTATTGTTGTTTTTGTTATTTTTATCATTATTATTATTATCAAAACCACCGATGTATAGATTCAGTAATAAAACATAATTTGTATATTGCTATAAACTCTTTTTTTTATAAAAATGTATTCATTCATTTTCCTTCGGCTTAGTCCCTTTATTCATTTTGGGTCACCACAGGGGAATGAACCATCAACTTAATATCCAGCATACGTTTTACACAGCAGATGCCCTTCCCAGTTCTGGGAAACATCCATTCACACTCATACACCATGGCCAATTTAGTTTATTTAATTCACCTATAGTGCATGTCTTAGGACTGTGGGGGAAACCGAAGCGCCTGGAGAAAACCTATGATAACATGGAGAGAACATGCAAACTCCACACAGAAATGCCAACTGACCCAGCTGGGACTTAAAACAGCGACCTTCTTGCTGTGAGGGGATAGTGCTAATCACTGAGCCACCATGTCGCCCTTTCTATAACCATGCAGTATTATTTTGGTTTGTTCATTAAAAATCATGTTCAAAGTCCAAGTGTAGCTCAGGCTCAGAAAATTTGCAAAAAGTCATCATTTGCATACCAATGAAGTATCAAGCTTTGTTCTATTTTCTTTTTTTTTTTTTTCTTGCCTTAAAGTAGTGAGATCTGTACTGTACCTTAAAGTGTCTTCATCTTGAGTTAGGTACTGGAATCTGCTGTGGAGTTTTCTGATCTGCTCTGTAGAAACTAAATGGAGAAGGAGATAAAAAAAATTTGAATCAACACCATCAAATCAGAAAGAATTCATGGAGTGGAAACGAATATCTTTTTATTTCAATAGGCACATTCAGTTCCGGCCTCAGGTTCTAGAACAGGTGTCCTCCATGTTCAACACTGTCAACAGGCAGCAATGCAGACTCTATTTATAGACATCAGTCAAACAATCCCCGGTCTCATGACAGCTGTCACCAAACCAAAACACTTCACTGTCTGGAATGTTTACTATTGTTATTTTTATATACAGTGTGCATTTGTTATGCAAGAGAATACTGATTGAGTTTTGCAACTTTAAAATTATGTCACATCTAATTGTTTTAAATTATTTGTGAATTGTACAATTAACTATTTGTTTTAATGTACACAATCAATAACTATGAAATACTGTCTATATGGTAAATTTATAAATAATTTAAAATTTCTTTAATGCAAGTAAACTAGTTTATTCATTGTTTATTCATAAAATTTATTTAGAATAAAGAATGATAAAATACGGTATATTTTGTCAAAATAAATGAAAATCGATTTTTAATTGTACATTTAGAAATATATAATAAAAATAATAATTAATTATCATTATTATTATTATTATTATTTATTTATTTTGTGTGTGTGAAATAATAAAGAAAAAAAATATGCCGTGTAATATGACAATATGTATCACATGGACAAAACAAGAAGTAACTTCCCATTATATCTGTAACTTCACATCGAGCTCTATTGTTTATTTCATGGTGTCACAAAATACACTGTTTACAGTTGTTCATTATTTATTTGAGTGCAATATTACACTCCACCACGGGGATGCAGACAGAAACCTGAGTAACAGCATTGTGTGAGAACACCAAAATCGAAAGCACATTTAAATTTCTTTCTATTTATATGTTGGACCTGTAATCATACGTTTTTGAAGCTGTACATTGTATTAATGTTTATTTAATAATTTATTTAAAAAAAAAAGAAATAAAAATTTGAATTAGAAATCTAGTTAACGATTCAATTATTAAAATAAAAGTTTAATAAGAGCGAGGCAGTGGCGCAGTAGGTAGTGCTGTCGCCTCACAGCAAGAAGGTCGCTGGTTCGAACCTCAGCTCAGTTGGTGTTTCTGTGTGGAGTTTGCATGTTCTCCCTGCCTTCGGGTGCTCCGGTTTCCCCCACAGTCCGAAGACATGTGGTACAGGTGAATTGGGTAGGCTAAAGTGTCCGTAGTGTATGAGTGTGTGTGTGTGTGAATGTGTGTGTGGATGTTTCCCAGAGATGGGTTGCAGCTGGAAGGGCATCCGCTGCGTAAAAACTTGCTGGATAAGTTGGCGGTTCATTCCGCTGTGGCGACCCCGGATTAATAAAGGGACTAAGCTGACATGAAAATGAATGAATGAAAGTTTAATAAATGTATTTATTTAATTGTAAGAATTTGTCATTTTATCCTGTTTTAGTGTTTTTGTTTCTATATTTATTTGTTATATATATAACAATAATATCGAAATTATTCGCCCCTTTAAGCTATTTTTTTTGATAGTCTATAGAACAAACCATTGTTTTATAATAACTTGCCTAATTACCCTAACCTGCCTAGTTAACCTAATTAACCTAGTGAAGCCTTTATATGTCACTTTAAGCTGTATAGAAGTGCCTTTAAAATATCTATTAAAATATTATTTACTGTGATCATGGCAAAGATAAAATAAATCAGCTATTAGAAATGACTTATTAAAACTATTATGTTTACAAATGTGTTGAAAGAAATTTTCTCTTCATTAAATAGAAATTAGGGGAAAAAAAATAAACAGTGGGGCTAATAATTTTGACTTTAACTGTATTGAATTGAATTTTATTTGACATAATTTAGACTATCTGTACAAAAATACAAGTATCCCACAAGTTTTGAAATAAACACTGTCGAGGATAAAAACACAATAAAGCCCTGGGCTTGTTTCCATTGTGGTCCTCTCTGTTAAATAAAACAAAGTATGGCTTCAAAATACAGATGATGCATAAAACAAACAGTACCTCACACATTTTAAAACAGGAATAAAATAATTTACAAATACATTTATTCATTCATTTCTCTTTTCGGCTTAGTCCCTCTATTAATTAGGGGTCGCCACAGCGGAATAAACCATCAACCATATGCATCATGCAGTGGATGGCCTTCCAGCTGCAACCCTATTAACAATCAAGTAACATATCAAATAAAACATCCTCCTTCACCACACAAACTAATTATCCTCAAACAACCATCAAGCTATCTTTGATAGCTGTTTTGAACCTCCTTAAGTCTTTTATATCCTTGATCGATTTTGGTAATTTGTTCCACATGATTGCACTTGTATATATATATAAAAAAACATTTTTCCTCACGAGACTTCCTAATTTAAATAAACAAATATTAAAATCCCAACCCCTACTACTGTACTGAATGCTGTTGCCTCACCATTTGAAAATAGTTCACCAAATAAATAGGAACCACATAATTAAACATTTTTCTTACTATACGTATAACTACATGTAACATATAACATATGACATGCATAACTATATAAATATGATTTTGCTTCATTTTCAAGTGTTTCCTTTTAATTGATTTAATTTACAACACTGTGCAGTTTTCCTTTACAAGTCTCCTGTTACCTATAGGTGTATAGGTACCTACAAAGTAAATGATAGGCTAGATCAGACATGCACACCAAAATAAAAAAAATAAAAAACCTGTAAAACCAGAAAAACAGAAAAAATAAGCCATACAATTTTGTGCTAAAGCTATTTACACACCATATGTAAGGTAGTTAGTTTTGGTAAGATTTGCTCGGTGGTTTATTTAAAATATTTGGCTATAGAATAGTAGTGTGTAGAATAGTAGATACATTTTACAAGTTTCTTCAGACATGCTTTTGCTTTCCAGCTGAGACGCTCCGTGTTTATGGGTGTTTGTGTTGGCCGTTCATGAATTTGCATCATGCATTTGAATATGTATGTTTTTGTTACAGTCAATGACACAAGCATCAACACTTTTTATAATAACTGTAAAGAAATTAACAAACAATACTGTGTTTGTGAGTGACAGTTCATGTACATTCAGACTGAAATAAAATCAGATTCGTTTGACACTTGAGTACAAAATTCCACATTAAACACCTAATAAAAGGTCTTGTACTGTACGTGATTGTTTAAATATAACCAATGTTTTATTGATATTTGATACTCTTTCTCTTTACCAGTCGGGTTTTAGACCAAATTTTTCGATTACTACAGCCTTAATGAAGTTCATTAATGATGTGTTCATATCCTTTGACAAAAGTCAACCCACTGGCGCAATTTTTATTGATCTCACTAAAGCTTTTGACATGGTTGATCATTATCTTTTGTTAGATAAGTTATATTCTTTAGGTTTTGATCAAAAGTCTCTTTTTTAGTTTAACTTTTACTTTCATAAAAGACGTCAATTCATTTCATTTAGAGGCTTCAACTCCGTCTATTCAGTTATCGAAAAGGGTGTCCCTCAAGGATCATCATTGGGCCCATGTTCTTTTATTTTTTAACAATTTGCCTAAATTTAATTCAGTCTGCCAGATTCAAATTTATTTTTCCAACTCTGATATTTCATATATTCAATCGTCTTTGCAGTTAGACTTTACTTTAATTGAAAATTGGTTTAATAAAAACAAATAAAAAGAAGTCTTGTAGTATGGTGTTTTTTTTTAAATCTCAATAATTTCATTCAGTAGACATAACGCTGAACTGTCCTTTAAACCAGAGGTTCTCAAAGTGGGGGCCAGGACCTCCCGAGGGGTTGCGGGACAATGAAGGGGGGGTCGCCTGGTGATTTTCAAAAATCAATTAATTTTTAATAAACCTTAAGACTTACTGTATTTTATCAATAACCTACTGATGAGAAAAAATAGTCGTTTATAGTTACTATAAACTATATAGTTACTATAGTAGCTTATAGTTACTAGTTCTATTGGATTGCGACTTCTCGGGTAATTACATTATACTAAAGACACAGCAATACTGTCAGATGCAGCAGATATTGTAACACCAGGTTAAACTTTCTAGCCCATTTACAGCACTGACATACATAAAAAAAAAACAAAGAATAGACTTGGGTCTATTGGTTTGTGTGCGTCATTGCATACAAGGTTTCTGTATTTATAACCACCACCTCAGAGAATATTGGGGGTCACGAGTCACTGGCATTCTCATTTTGGGGGTTGCGGGCTGAAAAGTTTGGGAACCCCTGCTTTAAACTACATATTGATGTTATAATTAAAAAGTCATATCGGTGCTTAGGTTATCTTTATCGTTCTATTAACTGTTTTCATTTAAAGTAAAAAAAAAAATTAATCTCTCAATTAATTTTCCTTATTATTGATAACGCTGAAATTATTTATCACAATCACAAACAGAATCTTTATTGTCATTGTACTAAATACAACAAAATTTACGTTTGCCCTTCCCTTCAGTGCAGTCCTATTTATCTAAAATAACTACAATAATAACAAGAGATAAAAAGGCAACAATAATTAATTCTAAAAGGAGTATTGACTATAAAATATTTTCGCCTGACCGACACATATAAAAACAAACAAATAAAGCACTGAGAAGGAAAGCTCTGAGCCGCTGCGTCAATGTGCGCCGCCATCACGCCACACAATACCTCTGATATTATTTTAAAACCATTAAATACTGTCTTAAATTCTCTATGTAGGTTTGTTTTAAGATGTCCCTATAGAACCCATCATTGCATATTATATGAAACCTCTTGGTTTGCTTCAACCCAAGTTCCGCAGACAGTATCATTGGTATTTGTTTCTTTTTAAATGTGTTTATTTTAGTTTCCTCTCTTTTTTTAAATAATTTTTTTGTTCCATTTACCTCATCATATTTGCTTCATCATATGCAACAGAATGATTTTTTTCCCCCAGAATTGCAACAGAAATTGGAACAACTGGAACAATCTGCCCTCCTTATTTAGATCAATTAAGTCATTTAGTCTTTTCAGGGCTAATTTATTTTCTTTTTTGGAAACAACTTGAGAATGTTATTGATATTGGTTCCAATTTGGATGTTTATTGTTCATTTGTATATCAAATTGTTTGTGCTTTTGATTGTATGTTTTTGCTTATTTAGGCTTTGGATTGTGGGAATTGTGCTGCTTGGTTGGTTGTTTGTTTTGTTGGTTGTATGTTTGTTATGACGTGTTGTACACTGATTTATGAACGTCTCAGGGACCCCCTCGAAAATGAGATGATTCATCTCAAGAAGCTATCCTATTCAATAAATAAATTTAAAAAAAAATTCAAATAAATATTTTATTTATTACTGTTGATAAAATGAACGTGCATATAAAAGTAAAGGGTCTAATGTTTCAAATAACTTCTCTGCACAAATAATGTCCCATTCTCATTTAGCGTAACATATTTATATCTAAAAAAGAGAAGAAATAAAGGCACATTTATTTGGATTTAAAGATAAATACTTTTTATATTGAAGCCTAAATTATTTTGAAAAGTCTTGCTAACAATACTTGCTAAAATACAAACACTTAAAATGACAACAAATGCAGGAATTTTTGGTGCTGCACTCTCATCTTTAAATGTATATGCCTGACAAGGTTTATATAAAGTAAACAATTTTTACACTTGATAACATTTTAGTAGTAATGTACACACACGCATTTAATTCGAGTGAACAAACATTACATATTGCTTAATGAGTGAGCAGTTCATGTACATTCACATTGAAATAAAATCAGTTTTGTTTGGTATTCGAGTACAAAAATCTACTTCAAACAATTACTAAAATGTCATGTACTGTATGTGATTGTGAAAATATTGTTTATTTCTGTTAATAAAATAAACCTGTATATAAAAAGTAAAGGGTCCAATGTTTTAAATAACTGTCATTGATTCAGCATAACAGATTTATGTTAAAAAAGAGAGACAAAAGCATTTTTATTCTCCTATAAAGATTAATACTTAAATATTTTCCCCTAAATGATAAAGTCTTGCTAACAATAGGGAGGATAATGGCAGTACAAATACTTAAAATGACAACAAATGCACAATATATGCTTAAAATGACAATATATGCAGGAATTTTGGTGCTGCACTCTCATCTTTAAATGTATTTCAATGTCATTCTTCTTTTGTATATGCCTCACAAGATTTATAAAATAGTAAACAATTTTTACACAATGACATTTTAGTAGTATAATACGTACACACACGCATTTACTTAGAACTAACAAACATTACACATTGCTTAGTGAGCAGTTCATTTACGTTCAGATTGAAAAAAATTAGTTTCGTTTGGCATTCGAATACAAAAATCTACTTTAACAAGTAATAAAATGTCATGTACTGTATATGACTTGTTAAAATATTTTATTTATTACTGTTAATAAAGGTGTATGTAAAAAGTAAAGGGGTCCAATGTCTCAAATACATGTGCAAAAATAATGTCCCATTTAATTCAGTGTAACAGATTTACAGGTATGTTAAAAACAAGAAGCATTATCATTCTGATGTACAGAATAATACTTAAATTTTTTCGCCTAAATGATAAAGTCTTGCTAACAATAGGGAGGATAATGGTAGTACAAATACTTAAAATGACAACAAATGCAGGAATTTTTGGTGCTGCACTCTCATCTTTAAATGTATATCCCTGATAAATTTAAATACATTAATGACACTCTCATCCTTAAATGTATTTTAATGTCATTCTCCTTTTGAGATTTAAAAATAGTAAACAATTTTTACACGTAATGACATTTTAGTAGTACAATGTAGACACTCAGAACAAAAGTTGTAAAACATGTCACAGGGGCAGCAGTAGTACACTTTTGAACCTACCAGGTCCACATTAGTACCTTGAATTTGATTAATTAACGTGTACCTGTACCGCCTCAGTGACTGGTTTTGTATTTCCGAGTGTACCAAACTTTGTCCTACTAACAATTTAGTTTTGTGGAAAAAAAGACGTACCAAGAAACCGTCATTTATATACAAAATACTGTAAACACAGCTAGATAAACGTATGCTATCTGTCTACGTACTGTATGTCGTAAGTTTCACAGATACTCACAGCCGGTTTTATCAGCCAGATCTTGGTACTTCTGAGCTTGTCCTCCTGACTGGGCAGCTCCCATGTTAAATTCCGGAAGAGAGAAGAAACACCGCCGTGTGAAGAAGAAAACGATCTGAAACTAAACTTTGTCAACGTGCGCTCAGACTTTTCCAGTGAAGCTCCGCCCACTCATTAAATATGCAAATAAGCGTCTGCGACACACCCGCGCCTCTGAGAAAGTCAAATGGTTTTACTATTGTTATCATACAACAAAGGAAAACACCCTGTCATAGCAGATATTCGGGGTCGATGTACCTGACTAAAGTAACTTATGATTATAAGCGACTTACAAATGAGGAAAAAAAAAGAAACAATATACATAAATATATAATTTAATCATAAAATTAAATTCAAAAGTTAAAAGTATGTAATAAAATACCAATTAAAATACATTATCAATAATTATAGATTACTTTGACTTTGATATAGGCTTACGTAGCACTAGTTTAATGTTTTTACTTACGGAAAAGCATTTAACTGGCATTTTACTCTCTCTCTCTCTCTCTCTCTCTCTCTCTCTCTCTCTCTCTCTCTATATATATATATATATATACAATCTGTTGCAAAACAACTGTGATTAAACCCCTTATGACAGTGATTTTTGCATAATAGCACCCATATAACTTAAAAACAATCAGCATAAATATTAAAGTAAAACGTTTGACAGATTTCAGGATGTTGAAATATTGACCTTGTATCTCAGTATGAGCAAAACCTGACGATCCTGTTCTCCAGGAAAAAAAAAAGTTAAGCCAGGAAATCTCACCATCTGAACAAAGAAGTTCACAACTTTCCTAAATTAGTTTGGTGATCTCGGGGAAAAAAGTTACAATTTTATATAAAACATTCCCGTACATACAAACAAACTATACTAAACTACATAGATATACATTACATGTACAATAAATATCTATGTAATGTATATCTAAGTCAAATTTTTTATTTAATAATAATATTAAGTTCAATATATTTTGTCAAATATATGCATGTGTGCTTTTTTATACATAAATACACTCACCGGCCACTTCATTAGGTACACATGTCCAACTGCTCATTAACGCAAATTTCTAGTCAGCCACATGGCAGCAACTCAATGCATTCAGTCATGTAGACATGGTCAAGATGATCTGCTGCAAAGCATCTGGAGAAGAAACGTGATTTAAGTGACTTTGAATGTGGCATAGTTGTTGATCCCAGACGGGCTGGTCTGAGTATTTCAGAAACTGTTGATCTACCGGGATTTTCACACACAACTATCTCTCTAGGGTTTACAAAGAATACCTGATCTGATGAGTCTAGATTTCTGCTGCGACATTCAGATGGTAGGGTCAAAATTTGACGTAAACAACACGAAAGCATGGATCCATCCTGCCTTGAATCAACAGTTCAGGCTGGTGGTGGTGGTGTAATGATGTAAGGGATATTTTGCACACTTTGGGCCCATTAGTACCAATTGAGCATTGTGTCAACGCCACAGCCTACCTGAGTATTGTTGCTGACCATGTCCATCCCTTTATGACCAAAATCTCTGAGGAAAATTTCCAGCACCTTGTTGAATCTATGCCACGAAGGATTAAGGCAGTTCTGAAGTCAAATGAGGGTCCGACCCAGAACTAGTAAGGTGTGCCTAATAAAGTGGCCAGTGAGTGCATACATAGTACATGTATTACATAAAAACAAACTTATTTTTGGATGCAGTTTAATTTTTGCCCAACACTCTATTGTAAATATGCTGGGCTAAAATTATTTAAATATTAATTAAAAAATAAATATATAGAGAGTGTAATACATTATGTAAATATACATGCAATTAAATAACTGGAGCAACAGCATGGGGCTTTTTCTTTTATTGTGATTCATTCTCTTATATTCTCAATACTTTTATATTTACAACCACTACAAACTCATCGAGCTCTTGTTCTCCAGGTTTCATTTTGATAATTCTGAAGTAAACATTACAAAATATTTCAAGGTGACAGTGTCAGACATTATTCCTCACGTGAAGTGTGTGTTTATTAACATATTAGTGCATTAGTTCAGTTATTAATGACGGCCTGACGATGATCTTCAACACATTTAACTGAATATTCAGACCCTCTGTAGTGCGAGTTTATATAGTCTATACATCTAAGTTTTGTATCTGCACGAATACTGTAACTTATTTTGTACGAATACTGTAACATCGTTTGTACACCACTCGAAAACAACACTCGTAGTTTCTTTCAGCTCAGACTACATTTGCAGCTCTGGGTCAAAATTGCCTGGGAGACTGATCTAGGACCAGAAGTTAACAAATTTGTGAAAACCTACGACTAAAGACTCCACTTTGTTTAGAAATAGGCTCATTAAACAGCTCTGCTAGAGTTAAACAATTGAGTTTTACCAGTTTTTAATCCATTCAGCCTATCAGTGATTTGTTTGGAACATTTTTAGCTTAGCTTAGCATAGATAATTGAATCGGATTAGACCATTAGCATCTTGCTCAAAAAGAAAAAAAAAAGTTGATCATTTTCCTATTGAAAGATTGACTTTTCTGTAATTAAATCTTGCACTAAGACCAACAAAAAATGAAAACTGATGCATGATATCATTGCGCCTGCTGCAGCCATGGTATGGCAACAAAATCTCTTGATTGTTACGCCAGAATGAGAATATTGTTCCTAGATATATAAGCCTAGAAAAAAACACAGTTTCATTTTCCATTAGTCTCAGTATACAATGTAACTACAGAAGAGTCAAGCTTTAAATAGGAAACTTATAGAGACTCTTTAGTCATTGTTAGTGAGATGCTAATGGTCTAATCTGATTTAATGATCTATGCTAAGCTAAGCTAAAGGAACTCTCGATAGACCCAGAGATCATCTGAATGGATTAAAAAATGGTAAGACTCAACTTTAAAATGAGTCTAAATGCAAAAAGGATTGAAGTGTTGCTTTAAAGAGACGGTTCATCTAGAACTGAAAAATTACTTGCCCTCAAAACATTTTCATGAGGCTTTTTTTGTTCTTTCTGCAAACATGTTTGAGTTTTTTTTTTCTTTCTCATGAACACAAAAGAAGATACTTTGAAGAATGTTGGAAGAAACCATTAACATACATAGAAGAATGTTGAAAATCAACAGCCATTGACTTCCATAGTGCTTTTTGTTTTTTTCTAAGTAACTTCTTTTGTGTTCAATAGTGGAGGCTGAGTATAATGACATGGATCTTCATCAATGCCTTCAATTATGAAATCGGGTCTCTTATTAGATGTTCTGATGAAAGAAAGTGGAAATGTTCTGCTTTTATTTCACAATGTAAAATATACCGGGTTCCGCACAAATCGATTTGTGTTGGGGCAACATGAAAGAATTAAGTTAGCTCATCAGCGATCTGGTGGGAACATTTTTAGCTTAGCTTAGCATAGATCATTGAATCTGATTAGACCATTAGCATCTTGCTCAAAAAAAAAAAAAAAAAAAAAAAAGAGTTTTGATCATTCTCCTATTGAAAGATTGACTCTTCTGTAATTAAATTGTGAACTAAGAACAAAAGAAAATGAAAATTGGTGCTTAGTATCATTGCGCCTGCTGCAGCCATGGTATGGCAACAAAATTTCCTTGATTATTAGTACACAATGTTACCACAGAAGAGTCAAGCTTTTAAATAAGAATTCATAAAAAACTATTTGAACATTTTTGAGCGAGATGCTAATGGCCTTATCTGATTCAATGATCTATGCTATGCTAAGCTAAGCTAAAAGTGCTCCGGATAGACCCTGAGATCAGCTGAATGGATTAAAAAATTGTAAAACTCAACTGTTTAACTCTAGGGGAGCTTTAAAATCCCCTCTAAATCCAAAACGCATAGAAATGTTGCTTTTAAAGGGACAGTTCATCCAAAAATGAAAAATTACTTGCCCTCCACAGTTTCATGAGTTTGTTTTTTCTTTCTGCGAACATGTTTGAGTTCTTTCTTTCTGATGAACACAAAAGAAGATACTTTGAAGAATGTTGAAAACCAGTAGCCATTAACATACAACTCTAAGGAAGTCAATGGCTGGTGATTTTCAACATTCCTCAAAGGAACTTTATTTGTGTTCAATAGAGAAGGCTGAGTATATAATGATATGGATTTTCATTTTTGGGTGAACTGTCCCTTTATCAATTCCTTCAATTATGAAATCGGGTCTTCTATTAGATGTTATGATGAAAAAAGTGGATATGTTCTGCGTTTATTCTCACTGTAAAAAATGCCGGGTTCCACACAATCGACTTGTCTTGGGGCAACATGAAAGAATTAGGTTAGCTTATTAGTTTTTACAAATGTAAGTGGATTGAACGTTAAACAATTGAGTTGTCCCAGATAAAAAGAATTGTGTTGTTTCTGCTCATTTAAGATAAGTAGTTTGAAAATTTTTAAGTGCTGGTCTAGGGATCTAACAGATCGTGGTCCTGGAAGTTGGCGGTGGGCTCTGGTGACTGGCCTGAGTTTGGGGTGAGAGAGTGGTAAAGCTCCTCTACTGTCCTGTTGGTTTTACACATGTCTTCTGGGTATCGCGCTTGCAGCTCTTCATTTGAGATGTAGTGCGTTTCAGAATACTCGTTGAAGTAGCGGCCGATTTCAGGGTGAGCGATTTCCAGTGGCGCAGAGTGAGGCTCCAGATTCTCTGCAAATCAACAGAGAAAAATACAGGGGTTTTGTATTTTTTAAAGACATTCATTCATCCATACATTTTCCTTCAACTTAGTCCCTTTATTCAACAGGTGTGTCCACAGTGGAATGAACTGCCAAATATTCCATATGTTTTATACAGTAGATGACCTTACAGCTGCAACCCAGTACTGGGAAACACCAATATTAGAAATGAGTTATTAACACTAATATGTTTAGAAATGTGTTTAAAAAAATCTTTCTGTTAAACAGAAATTGGGGACAAAAAAATATACAGGGGGCTAATAATTCAGGAAGGCCAATAATTCTGACTTCAACTGTCAGGGTTCATACACATTTTTACATATACATTCCAGAACTTTTCCAGAACTTTCAAGTACATTTTCATAACATTGTGTTTCAGGTAATGTCTACATATACATAGAAAAACAGTGATGTTCAAACTTTTTACAGCATATTATAGAACACGCAACAATCTATTTTATTTAATTTTATTTGTTTTTATATTGATTTTGATAATGCTTACACAGCACTAACAATGTGAGAGCGAGTTTTTGGCCAAGGACAGAAAAGAAGTATAGACAATTAAGGGTTGCACAATATATCCTTTCAGCATTGAGATCGCAATGTATGCATCCGCAGTAGTCACATCACAGGATATGCAATCTTGATATTATAGTTTAATAAAGAGTTTAATCATGATGGAGTAAAAGTTTATCATCTGCATGCGTGTTTAAACAGATAGTTCGCCCAAAAAGTACTTATTTTTATTACACCCTTTACTTGTTTTATGAGTTTTCTTTTTTTTTTTTTTTTAAATGAACAAAAAAAGAATATATTTTAATAACTCTTATAGTATTGAAACAAGTAAAGGGTGAGTAAATATTGAGTTTATTTTAATCTTTGAGTGAACTGTCCCTTTAGGCCTGTGACTGTGTGAACATTTCAATATTTCAAATTTTACAACATCCGGCCACGAAATTTGTTGTAACTTTAATGAAGATGAAATAACATACAATGAAGACTATGCGATTAAGATTATTTAATATCTGTACCTGAATAATGAATACCTGAAAACTATAATTCACTTTTGTCTTTACTATACTTTATTAATCTATGCTTGTCATTGATTTGTTATATGTTATTCTAGATTCACTCCTCTTGTGAATACATTTTCATTTAGGGGTGAACTGTCCCTTTAAAGGCGACACAAGTGGCTCAGTGGTTAGCACTGTCATCTCACAGCAAGAAGGTCACTGTTTCGAGTCCCTGGCTGGGTAAGTTGGCATTTCCGTGTGGAGTTTGCATGTTCTCCCCGTGTTGGTGTGGGTTTCCTCGGGTGCTGCGGTTTCCTCACAATCCAAAGACATGCGCTATAGGTGAATTGAACAAACTAAGGGCGTACTCGCACTATGTACAATTGCCTGGAACATGGCCAAAGCACGCTTGCCCCTACTTCTGTCTCCCCAGACAGCCTGCTCTCACATTACATTCAGGCCTGGGCATGCTTACGTCATCGATGATGCGCTGTTCAGTAAGTGCTCTCGCTCAGCACAGTGGAGATTTCTCTAGTTATATCGTTTGAGATACAATGATACTAAGTAAAATTTTTCGCCGAACAGATCAGCCACTTTTGACATTCATAAACAATCATAAAGCCCTCGTGCTGCAGGAATGAGGAGGTTTGCTGAAGGTGCGCAGCTGTCGTGAAGTGAGGGTTTTGCGTCTTTAATAAACTACGACAGGTTGCGTTCATTCAAGAGTAAGAAAGATTAATTAATCCATATGAAACAGTCCCTTAAAAGTCACGTCTCGCTTTCAGTTTCCAGCTCAGGCACGTTTTGCACTCACACAAGCGTACCGTGCCAAAGCCCAAGTGAACCGCTCTCAGCTACACCTCTTCCAACCGGGCCAGGGCCAGCCAAGTGAACCATGCCTGAGCCCGATTCAGAGCACTCACACTTCTCAAACGATCCGGTAAACGAGCCTGGGCTAGGTTTGGATAGCATGGTGTGAGTAGGCCCTAACACACAAGCGAACCACGCCAAAGCCCAAGTGAACCGCGCTTAGTGTGAGTACGCCCTAAATTGGCCGTAGTTTATGACTGGTTTGCAGCTGGAAGGGCATCCACATTGAAAAACATTTGCTAGAACAGTTGGTGGTTCATTCCGCTGTGGCGATCTCTGAATTAGAGACTAAGCCCAAGGAAAATGAATGACAGAATATTGTATTGTATTGTTGGTGACTGTAAGGGTATTAGCCTGATTGGGTCACTTTAACATGGACACTGGAAAATTAAGACCCATTTAAAATCATTTAAGACAAGATTTGAGTGAATTTAAGACTTTTTAAGGACCTAAATTTTGTTTTTGAACTTTTAGACATTTTAAAACCCTGCGGACACCCTGAAGTATGAATAAAAATATACATATTTCTTTTTTTTCTCACAAATGTGAAAAGCCTCACCTTGTGCAGCATATCTGCAGGTCCCGTCCTGTACCAGGACATTGTAGAACGGCTGATCAGCCCCTTTAGACAGTTGATGGACCCTCATGGTGTTAATCCACTCCTGACTCATGGTGCATTTAGGGTCCCATCCATAGATAACACAGTTGTAGCCTGACCTACAGTATGAGAGGAACCACACAGATTCACAATGTTCTGCAACGTCCATGGTTTATCTACACTGTAAAACCCAAAATGTTAAGGTAACTCGGTCACACTTTACTATAAGGTTCATTAGTTAATGTTAATTAATGCATTTACTAACAGCAACAAACAATGAACAATACATTTACTACTGTATTTGTTCATGTTAGTTAACGTTAGTTAATGAATGATGAATGAATGATTAGTTCATGTTAGTAAATGCATTAAATAATGAACCTTATTGTAAAGTGTTACCGGTAACTCAAACCGTTTGAGGAAACCGATGGCAACAAAGCATTTAAGTTAAAAAAAAAAATCCTAATGAGTACTATGAACTTAATCTATTTGAGTAAATGAATCAATTTGAGCACAGCAAAACCCAATAAATGAAGAGAACTCAAACCAACTGAGTACTGTAAAACTCAATAAGTTAAGGCAACTCAAACCGTTTGAGGAAACCGACTGCTACAAACCATTTAAGTTAAAGAGCCCATATTATGGGTTTTTGAAAATTCCCCTCCATGTAGTGTGTAACACAGCTCTAAGTGAAGTGAAGTATCCAGCTAAGGCTTAAATCTGTTAGTGTACAGTGTTTAAAACTGTTGATTCATCTATAAAAGAGTCGACTCATAGTGCTTCAAACGAGTCGCCTTGATACCGATTCATTAGGTGTTTCGCCATGACGTACGAACGAAACCAAGTTACTCACGTGCACGCGCAAACCTGGGAGATTTCAAACCTGAGGCCCCGCCCTCTGACGCAGAAACCCAGACACACACACACACACAAACACACGCACACAAAGATGCCGGTCGATTGAAGTCACACTGCAGATGGATATTATCGAGGGTCTACCCAAAGATGAAACCTCAGCATTATAACCAAGCAGTTGGAAACTACATGCTACAAAGAATACTTCATCAGCGTTTGTTAAAGGAAGGATCAGTAAAGAGTAACTTACTGATGGACGTCAGGATTAGTTTCGTCCTCCATTTCTCAAGTGTAAGTACGTGCGATTAAAGTTATTGCCTCGTTTACTCTAGCTTGCAAATGTATTTAGTTGTGATTTGTTACTTGTAATCAATCAAGCCTTTATTTGTCACTACACATTCGTATATTGTAACCGCGTGTACTGTATCAGGTTAACTCGCTATATTCTCTTATCGCGTGCAAAGTCACGTTAAAAACGTGACGCGTGCTGCTTTGTTTACGGAGCTCCGTGGAGGAGTAGTGTGTGTGTGCGCGTGCGCTGTCGTCCGGAGGTATGTGTGTGTGTTTGTGTGTGTGTTTGTGTGTGTGTGTGCGTGCACGTTGTCGTCCGGAGGTGTGTGTGTGTTTTTGTGTGTGTGTGTGTGTGTGCGCGCGCGCGCTCAAGGACGAGGGCAATGTGTGTGTGTGTGTGTGTCTGTGTCTGTGTCTGTGAAAAGAGCAGAGTGAGACAAGCTATTTGATCTCCTCGACAGTTTTTGGAATTTTTGCTCAATAAAACAGTCGTCTGTATTTTCAAGTCCATCGTCTGTATTTACATTGACCCACTGGCAGCTAAAATCCACGCCTACACTATCGAGCGTGTATGAACTGTGATTACTTTTATATTGCGGATTAGCTGTTTGGCATTTCACTCTGACTGAAGGCAGTCGACCAATCGCAACAGGCTGTCATTGGTCCAATCAGCGCAGATTAGCTTCGCGCTAAGGAGGGGTTTGAGAACAAATGAATCACTGGACGATTCATACAGGAGTCACTGGGATAATTAGGTAAAAATAAATGCAGATTATAAGACCATGAAAGTGTTATTGCATGCATATTAGACTGTTGTTGGAGACCCTTACAACCAAGATATGACCCTATTTCATGTATAATATGGGCTCTTTAAACTAATCTATATAAGTACTGTGGACGTGCTCCATTTAAGTTGAAGTAATGAGCTATTTAATTAACTCATTACCTTAAACACTGAGCTTAAAACTCTTTTCAAATGAGTAGAATTAACCATCAGTAAATGTTGAGTTAACTACGCTCGTTTCATTTGATAAAGTTGACTGTTGGGTTTTACGGTGTACAGCAGGGGTGCCCAAACTCAGAAAAGAGAACATTTGAACTTTTGAGATGGTAGTTCAAGTTCCTCTTGCATTTCTCAAATTTCAGAGTTTGATTTGTTGCACGGGGTTTATAAAGAAGCACCTCTTATGCTTCATGATGAGGCCTGTGGAGAACTGAACGTCTCTGTGTTCAGGAGCGCTGCGTCTTTTCACCTCCGGCTCCACTGGATGTCGCTTATGCTGGATGTGCTCGAGCGTGTGCTGCACCAGATACCCCACCGCTCCATGCTGAGACGGGTCCAGAGCCTGGATGTGCTGGAGAATATCCAACACCTCAGACAGACACATATCAAACAGGACAGTTTATTAGAAACACAGTGGCTGTACTTTACTTTCATTAGCATACACAGACAGACTTTTATGGAGCCAAACAGGATGTACAGTTTGTGTTTTGTAGCTTGATTGCAAATGTTCTGTAGACAAAAAATCTTAAGGGGTTAATAATTTTGACCTTAAAATGTTTTTTTAAATATTACAACTGCCAGTAGTCGCCAGTAGTGTTATCAACGCTGGAGATCTCGGTATTCCTGCAGAACTACAACTCCCAGAACTCTTTGCACCCATCAACTCCTGCAACAGCTGACAATAATCCAGACATTCTTACACAGAGAATATCAAACCTAACGCTTACTTTTAACGAGCTGAACTTTTATAGTAAAACTTGATTTGTGGACGTTCATTAAAACTATTAAACAAATGTTAGAGCACCCAAAGTGTTCATTTCCACAAATTAGGCCATACATTCTGTTTAATTGCCATGTCATTTATACACCTCAAGTCAAACGATTGGGAACCTGAACAAATATTTATGATTTAAAAGAAAATGGTTGTGAAAAGAGGTTTATTATGCTTGTAACTAGGCTAAATAAATAAAAAAGGTAAAAAAATTTTTTATTTAAATATACAGCACACTGTGAAAAAAATCCGCAATTTTAAGGTTTATTTCCAGCAGCTGGGGTGCCGTAAAAAAAACGTAAAATAACAGCACTTAAATTACAGAAATATACCGTAAAATAAAGGATATTAAATTACAAAAAATTTATGGTAAATTTCTGTAATTTAACAGCCGTTATTTATTTTTTGTTATTTCAATTTGCAGCACTATTCCGTGTCAAATATGCTCGAACGAATGACATTTGTTTGAGAAAAACATTGTAAATGTTTATATGATTGCATTTATTGCTTTTATATTTTCTCGTCATTGATTCTTTGCCGCCTGTACTGACCATTCGCCAGTTACTTGACATTATCTTTTGGATTACTTGTATGTACCCATTTGTCCTGTGTTTGACCAATGCCTGACTGACTACTCTTGTAAATAAAGATGCTACATTGGGATCCCCAACTCCGTTGCCAGTATTGCATGTTTTTACACTTTTATTCTAGCCAAAATAAAACAAATAAGGCTTTCTCCAGAAGAAAAAAAAATATTACAGGAAATACTGTGAATTTCACTTGAGAAATATTTGTAAGAATAAATATTTGCCTTCAAATAATAAATAATAATTTGCCCTCAACTGTAGTATTTTTTTTACAATAAAATATTTTTTTATCTTTAAAACTTTGGCTCTGATTTATTTATTTTTTTTGAAAACATACAAATGCATTTATTTAGCAAGTGTGACAAAAACTTGCAAGATATAAAAAGTAAAATCTAATAATAAAGTGTTCTTTTGTGACTTTCTATTCGTCAAAGTCTGCAAAATAGTCCCAGTTTAAATATGACATTTAAAAATAAAACACGTTTTACTATATAAAGTTGTACTTAAATATAGTACTATAATATTAGTCATAATAATAAATAGATGTAAAAGCATCAAAGAATTCGAGTCCCAGCTGGGTCAGGGTCAGTTGGCATTTCTGTGTAGAGTTTGCATGTTCTCCCTGATTTCGAGTGGGTTTCCTCCGGGTGCTCTGGTTTCCCCCACAGTCTAAAGACATGCGCTATAGGTGAATTGAATAAACTAAGTTGGCCATAGTGTACGTGTGTGAATGAGTATGAATGTTTCCTAGTACTGGGTTGCAATTGGAAGGGCATCCCCTGTGAAAAACATATGCTGTATAAGTTGGCAGTTCATTCCGCTGTGGCGACCTCTGATAATTAAAGGGATTAACCTGAAGGAAAGTTAATGAATGAATGTAAAAGCATCTATAAGTAATGTCAAAGTGAAAATGGAGCCTCTTTTGTACATCGAGACAGATTTGTTGACATATTGCGGTGCTGCATATATAATAGTCCCTTGGTAATTATAGCATATTACTTTTGTCTAGCACTCTTTGTGAAAAACATCTATTACTTGGCACTTAGTGAAACCAGAGTGATATTTAGTGCCAATTATAGTATCTACATCAAAATAGCAATGACCTTCTTTAATATTGAGTGTATATACAGCAGTCACTGCCTTTATATTTATAGTCCCTTGGTCTATGGTTATAGGAAAGTATTCAAACTGAATTTAAAACTGGTGTAATAATAATAAATAAATAGCCATAGCTTTAAGGGGTGCGTTATATTGTTATTAACTGCTAAAAAAAAAAGTTATAAATTTTTTTATATACAAAATGAATATTATATAACTTAATTGCACAAATTTAAGTGAACTGAACATAAAACTATTAAACTGTCACAAAAAACTCAAGAATCGTGTTTTAGCTCATTTTAAATAAGCAGTTTGAACAAACAGCAAACATCGTTTTTTTGAGTGTAGTTATATGCCTAAAAAATACATTATATTTCACATATCCTCTTGACTACCAGGAAAATAAATATTTTCCAATTGATTTTATTCTTAATTTCCCCAATTGCAGAAAAAAAAAGAATTATTTTAAAGATATCATGTGTCCAATACAGTGGACATCAGAGTGTGGTATGTGTGAAATGCAACCATAATAAGATACTTAAAATGATTACAATTTCAAAGAAAATACCGAAGACAATTAGGAATTATGACTGACACTACCACATTACTGTTAGTGTAGTGTATGCAACATAGACATTTTGCATTTTTGGTACCATTCTAGGACCTCTTTCTGAGGGTATTTCAAAAAGCAATTCCCCTTCTTTAAAACACAAAGAGATATCTTGCTTTTTTACACCTCAAGTAGGAGCTATTTGAATTCAAGAATCGTATTGATTTCTTTCATAGAAGCTGAAAATCAGTCTTGTTCTGAAGCCATGCATTGATGATTGGTAAAGCCATGCACTTTTTAAAATTCTCTCCGCCTCTGACAGTGATTCTCTTCCTGCTTATTTGTTTAAAGGGTCACGAAACACCAAAACACATTTTTGAGCTGTTGACAGTCATATATGTGTCCAACGCTGCTAGATCGTTGTGTGTTTTCCAGCGTTGAGACTGGCTGTCTGTACCTGGGAGTACTTCATGACGTCTCTGAGTGTGCTGCATTGATTCATAAGGAAGACTTGGTTCAAACCAATCAGCGCGCTCTATTGTGTATGCGATGCAACTTCATTAATATTCATGACGACTTTGAAGACTGTTTGTACATGTACAGTGTTCAGACGGCAGAGAGACGCCACGTTGTGTTGCCAAAACAAGCGGAAGAAGAAGGTTTGTTTGGAGATAGGGGTCGTCAGTGTTGCTTTTATAATTTGCTGCAGTGAAGGTTTTGTTTTCATTTTCTTACTATGAGAGCACAGCTGGACTCGAGTGTGGATTACAGTGCACGCAACACTTAACAAAAATACGTGTCGAAGGAACATTTTTTACCCGAGAGCTTTACTCATCTGGAAATGGTGGAATCTCGATTTGCCACTCGTCTCCTTTTAATAAAGACACGGCTCCAGCTGGTGTTGATTGTCCTGTCTCTACAAATTTGGTAAGTGTGTGCGATCAGTGTCTTTGTTTATTTATTCAGATGGTGAAGTTAGTTAGGTCCGTCTTTAAACACTGAAAGAGTACTGCTGACGATACTTAGTCAAATGATTCTTAAGTTAATAAAGTTTACAGTACGTTAATATCACTACAATATTACGGGCTGAAAGATCCGCTGTAAATGCTGCTCTCTGAGTGTAAACATGTAAACACCGCAATCAAACTAATCAAACTAAACTACCGTCGTGTAGGGTTTTCGACGCATTTTGTGACCGGAATAACAAACAAGGGTTTCTGACGCTAACTGTCAAGTGCATTACAGAAAAATGCGGAGGGTTTTTTATCTCATTCGCCGTGCAGTATCAAACATTGCATTAAAAATACACGCTTTCAGCAGTTCCTCGAATCAAATATCCTGTTTGTTTCGAGGGGCATGCAGGAAATTCCTGAATGATAGAGGTAAACTGCAGTTAAAGTCCACTATTTAATAATTTGTCCAATAATTTGATTACTGTTTCCCAGAGATGGGTTGCGGCTGGAAGGGCATCCGCTGCGTAAAAACTTGCTGGATAAGTTGGCGGTTCATTCCGCTGTGGCCATACCGGAATAATAAAGGGACTAAGCAGACAAGAATATGAATGAATGAATGAATTTGATTACTGATGTCCATTTAAACATAGTCACTGTATTTCTGCCCTCGTCTGTTTGTTTGTTTTGCCTCTGTGAAAATCAGCGCGTGCCCAATCGAAACTCCCATTTTTATGCAAATTTTTCAAAAGTAGAGGTGTGAAAATGCTCTGTTGAAACGGGGGTTTCATGGCCCTTTATAATTGAAAACATATGTATTAATAACCACAGATATCCACTTATTTGGGAGATTATTTGTTTTGGATATGCTTTAATCGTGGTAAAACTTGGTACATTTTGTTAAAATGAGGAGGAAAAGGTACTAGTTTGTAACTAATGCAATAGTTAATTTAGAAATGAAAAATTAGTCATTAACAAAGTATGGAAATACAATCATTAAGCACAATATACTTGCACTTATGTGTAGCTTTAGTTATAAAATGTCCATTAATGTACAGTTAATCCTTAGCATATGATGAACTAACTATTTGCTAATGCTAAATAAATGATTCATAGTGTGCAGTTAGTATAAATGCTCTAATAATTAACTTCTGTTTTTCAAAGACCCTCCTTCTGAAAAAGCACAGAGGGCTTTGATTGGTCAAGCCTACCCAGTGGATTCTGATTGGTCAAACACCTTCGGCTCACCTTATAAAATGATACAGGAACACTCACTGTCTTTGAAGCATGCCAAAAAAAACATCTTTCTTTGCATATCACAGATAATACATATCACACAGCCCTACACATAGTCTGTATCAAGCAAACAGGATGTCTTTAGGGAATGGTGGGCCATTTCTGACACTCACTTTCTCTGGCCAGATGCCCAGGTGGAAATAGAGACGGGCCTGTAGCAGAAGATACTGCACGTTATCAGGGTTAATACTGAGGTAGAGATCCAGAGAGTCCCGCAGGAGCTGATATGATTTCTCATTCCCTTCCCTAGACACAAAAAAGCGAGCACATTTTGTAACAAACATGGCGTTGACAACTGCACAAGTTGAGCTGACAGCCAAGACAAGCGGTTTCATTTAAATAAAACACAATCTGCAGAACTCCCAGACAGTTTTACTGATGAGCACCAATAAGAGGCAATGTAAGGATGTTATAATAACTCATTGTGTTGGTTATTTGGTGAACTAGAAGTTAACATGCCTTAAAGGTAAAAAAGAAATATATTATATTTCACTTATTGTACAATATTGCAGCACCTCTATTCCCAGAGTGTTTGAAATGCTCTGATTAACTTCTGATTTTTACAAAGCCCTGCCTTCTGAAAAAGCCCTGAGTGCTTTGATTGGTCAGCTGACCCATTGTATTTTAATTGGTTAAATGCCCCTTACGAAAATGGCATGGAAACACACAGTGGCTGTTTCTCAATTCCAAGAACGCAGAGAATGGACTTGCGTTCTTGTGGAGAGCGGTCTTGCCAGGTGTCCTCGGAAGAACGAACTCAGGAGACCGCGAGGGCAGAGAACGCGTCCTTTGAGAAATGGGATGCTGCGTTCTTCCTGATGGTCCTTCACATGTTTTAAATGTTAAAATATTTAAACATTCTTCCTCTTCAAAATATATACTTTGCATAAAAACATTATAAATATACTCCGCACAATATAAATAAAACAGATTTTAATACGAATTTCAGCAAACAAACAACCCTTAATGTGTTTATTACTTTGTTAAGATATCCATGTTAATGTTTATTTTCACCGTTTCATTTAGGGAAACTCCTGAGGTAAACAAGTGATATCTCTGAACTTTAATAATAAATCTAAATAAAATTCTGCGCTTCCCACCTCCAGTCGCAATGACTTCTGGGACTTCCAGAGTGAGTTCGCTGCTCAAGTCTGCATCAGTGCGTCCTCGATATCAAGAACACATCCGGGAAGTTTCACGCATCCTCCGTACTTGCGGTCTTGAGTATTGGAACTGAACTTAGGCAGCTGATGATGCCGTTGCACGAGAACACGAGGACACAAGACCTCTGAAGAACGCATATTGAGAAACAGCCAGTGTCTCCACAACATGCCGAAAACATAAAAGCCTGGCCTTCTTTGTTTGCATATATGACAGGCCTTTAAACCATTTGATGCAGTTTCCATGCCATGTGACCACATGAAAAAGTGTCTGCTTCTGTGCTTTTCAGTTTTTTTGTATTTCTAATGATTATTATCTTGCTTGACATTTGTATCCATATTGAAAACAGAACGTTTACCTTATTATTGAAAATAAAATAACTAACAATGTCATAGCTTATCGTTATATGTATTTATTATAGTGTAGACCAAAGTACAACTTTACTTGGATTTAGGTTTTTGAAGTTAAAGCAAAGTAATTTAATTAATTCATGTTCACTCTATAAAAACAATATTTTACATTTAAGTGAATTTATTTTTTTCGTCCTTTAATATAAATAAATATAAACATTTTGATTCATATTAAAAGGAAAATTTTCAGTTTCAACCAAGTCAAAATGTATGAATTTAGCTTAGTAATTTTTATGGGCAAATTACTTTTATTGCTTTTTACGTTGGTAAAAAATATATATACTTCAATCCAAGGGTAAAAAAATTTTTTTTTTTCATAATAAAAATCTACATTTGTAATTTAGAATAAAATATTTATAGTAAACAATATTTTTACTTTGTGTAAATGTATTTTTTGTCTTGACCCCAATAAATATTTTTGATTTAGATTAAATGTTTAAAGTTTGAACCAAAGTTAAATTATACTTTGAACTAAATATTAATTTGTTACAGCTATTTTTCTACATTGTAAGTTTTAAAAAAGTCTTTATAGTAAACAATATTTTAAACAATAAGTTAAGTTTGAACCAATGATAAATTAGTTATTTTTGTTATAGTTGCTATTGTTATTATTTATTTATTTATGTAATAAGATAAAAAAACACTTGCAACATCCAAAAACAACCCCAAAAACTACAACAATTACAGTAAAATGAAAGTGTGAGTCTGTCTCACCCTCTCATGCCGATATTCAGCAGATTTCCCACCATCCGCAGCAGAAGCTCGCTGGTACTTATAGCGCTGTAGTAATCTGCTGTCGCCTGGTGTTTGATCAGAATCTCACACTCTTTAGCAGCCAGCTGCTTCCCATTCCCAAACGCATCAATGTATATATAGTCGTAGATATCACCACACCTGCAAAACATCTCAGGAGTTCACTTTATACTGCGGATTTGGATGAAGATGGGTTAAGCAATAAAAATAAATAAATAAAAGAGGAGATCACCCTGAATTGAACATTTACTGTTCATTTACTTGATCTAAAGCTTTTAGTTTCTTTTTAATTCCTGTTGAAAGATGATATACTGAGGAAAACTGATAATCAATGGCATCCATAGAAGAAAAGGAAACACCTTTGAAATCAATATCTCCCGGTTTCCGACACTGTTTAGAGTTGGGCTGCACAATATATTGTTTCAGCATTGCTGATATCGCAATGGTCGAATAGTCACATGTTGTAATTAACCAGAAAACACATTTCAGGTCTAGTAAGTTTAATAGAATGAAAAGATTTATTTTAAGGTCTGCGATTATGTAAGATTTCAAGCAAATCTAAGTCAATGTATGCAAATTTAAGTAACATTTACAGATAATATATTTACTAATATTAACAAAGTCTGAATGATCTTGTACAGCATTTATTAATCATAACTAATGCGTTATTAAAACCCAAAGTCGTGCTTGTTAACATTAGTTAATGCACCTTGAGTTAAACCATTCAGCCCACTGGCAACTATAGTTGCCGCAGTTTATAGTTGCCATTTTCAAGTAATTGTCTACATGTTATCCATGTTTAATTTCTTAATGACATGCAAGCAAACAACCATACAAAAGATTTTAAGGAAGAAAAAAGGGAATTGATTTCTTTTATGTCACATGAGGCCTTCAACTTCCTACTACTAATTCCAGGAAGCAAAATAGAGGCAAACCCTCCTAAATAAAGGCAATGTTAATGTTACTACAAATTATTTTTTGTTCACAAATATATAAAGCATAATCAAGAGGGTCTCTACATTCATCCAAACAAAACAAATCTTTCAAGAGATCTATAGCTTTTTGTCAGAAGTTCAAGCTGTGGGCAAATACCTTGTAAGTACATATAGTTGAAGTCAGAATTATTACCCCCCCCCTGAATTAATAGCCCCCCTTTTAATTTTTTCCCCAATTTCTGTTTAACGGAGAGAAGATTTTTCCAACACATTTCTGAACATAATAGTTTTAGAAACTCCGCTCTAATAAATGATTTATTTTATCTTTGCCATGATGACAGTAAATAATATTTGAATACATATTTTTCAAGACACTTCTATACAGCTTAAAGTGACATTTAAAGACATTTATTTATTATTTTCTTCTTACTATTATTTGTATTTATATATTTTTTTCTATTATTATTTCTATAAGGGTTGTTTGATATGTTTGTAAAATGAAAAAAAATGTTAAATTATAAACAAAAAGCAATAGAAAGACACTTTTGAAGGAGAGCAGATGATGAGAGAACTTTCTTTTTTATGTAAACTATACCATATTAATATACTATACTAATGTTTATCTGCCAGGTTTTAATGCCCACCTCCTCTGATTTTGGCACCAGCGCAGCAGGAAATGGTTGGGGAAGTTGACGGGCTCCAGAGGGACTCCTAATTTCCTGGCCAGAGTCATGTAGAGCACTGAGAGGCTGATGGGAATGCCTGTCCTGCGGAGCAGCACCTGACCACAAGGGGGCACAAAGTGAGAAATATACATACAAATCTTTATCTCACAACCTCTTAAAACTGAACAATCTTCATGGGAGGACTCTTAACCCTAAAATGTAAAATGCATCAATGTATTACATTTTTTGGTATAGAAACAAATGTATATTGTGAAAGATTAATAGTAACACTGTGTAACACTTTAATGAATGTATTGTTCATTATTTGTTCATGTTAGTAAATACATTCACATTAACTAATACAACCTTATTGTAAAGTGTTACTGAAAATGACTTAAATTTACATATTCACAGATACACAGTCATTTACCTGCTACCTGTACAGTAGCGCGCCAAAACTGGTTTTGCATGAACACTGGTTAACATCTACATCAGAGATGCCCAAACTAGAGCCCGTGGGCCAAAGTCGGCCCTTTGTGTTCTTTGACTTGGCCAGCCAGAGGAGAAATGATTGGGAAAGGTTGAATGCCTACAGAGATTCTCATTTCTATTTTAATGTAACCTTTTGTTTGTTTGTTTGTTTGTTTGTTTGTTTGTTTGTTTGTTTGATTGTTTTATTGTTAAGCTACAAAAAAGCAAGCTGAAATTAAATCTTTCAATTAAATGTTGTAGATGAATCAGACTTTAAAAAAATGTAGCCACATACTGTCACTTAACCAATAGAAAACATCAACATGCAAATCAAGGCAAAGGCTTGTAATTTTGTAATTTTTTTCTATTTATTCATAAATGTTATGAAATAAATTATGAAATTGCCCAATGGCAACTTTAATGTAATACAGTATATATACTTCCAGCCCACAGCTCTCAATCCAGCTTGGATTTTGGCCCTTTGTAAAAAAAAAAACAGTTTGAGCACCCCTGATCTACAGCCACCTAAATAGAGTATTTTGCAATATGATATTGATATGAGTGGTGTACCTGATGTATGTATGAGTTGAGTGGATTGTAGTAGTCTCGCTCATTGCCCTTGTACTGTAACTGCTCATACAGCACAGCATTCACGGCACAGATGACTTGCCTTTGAAACTCAAAGTCTTCCAGAACGAAGCATTCACCTGAAAAAATGAAAACAATCAGACACACAACACTACACAGGGTTCATACACATTTTTACTACTAAAACTCCAGAACTTTTCCAAATCTTTCAGGTAAATATTCATGACCTTATGTGTTTGTCATGTCTATGTACACTTGGTAATTAAGAAAAAACGTATTTAAACGTATTACAGCATATCAAAAATATGCAACAATCTATGTAATTTGTTCAGTTTTATATCGGTAAAATAGCTCTTAGAAAGTATCCTGCTGTCTGTGTGAAAATATTTGAGAAATTCTGGCTTGTGTTTTCATAACACTGATAAGAATAGTACCAATTAGCTTTTAGCACCCACAGTTTCTTACCTCAGTAGTTAGAGAAATGCACACTCAAAACGTACCTTGAATTACGATGAATGAGAGAAAAAGAGAGGACAAGCTGAAACTGCACTGCAAAAAAAAATGCTTTTCTTACTTAGATTTTTGGTCTTGTCTCTAATCCCATTATCTAAAAGTTCTTAAATCAAGAAGCATTTTCTAGACAAGCAAAACATATTGTGTTGTTTTAAGAAATAATATGCCAAAATGAAGTGAATTTTTCCTTAAATCAAGCTAAATAATTTGCTAAAGGGGTAAGCAAAATAATCTTGTTTTTCGATTTGTGATAAAATTATTTTGCTTACCCCATTAGCAGATTATTTAGCTTGATTTAAGGAAAAATTCACTTCATTTTGGCATATTATTTCTTAAAACAAGACAATATGTTTTGCTTGTCTAGAAAATGCTTCTTGATTTAGGAACTTTTAGATATTTTGACAAGAAACAAGACCAAAAATCTAAGTAAGAAAAGCATTTTTTGCAGTGTGCGAGTTGCTTTTTGAACCCCACACAGAGCACGTCAAGTGAAGAGACGAACCACGCAATAGGTTGTTTGCAAGCATGTGGTTCTAGTGATGTGCGAAATTCAGATGGAGGGCAGAGAGTAAAAAACTGAATGGGAGACAGAACAAAGTCCGTATTTTTGTGATTTATTCCATATTTCAAAGGAGATATAAATAAAAAATAACCACATATGTTGGGCATGATCCTTATATCATGAAGAGGACCGAGTTTTATATGGAATTAAAATATATTTGCCTGTCATCGAGGTGGTAGATAGCTACTGTAAGCCATTACATGAAAAAGATATCATAGTAAGTACTATACTGTTTTGAACATACCTGAATTAAACTGTCGTAGTAATTATATGGTTATGGTACAACACAACTGTAGTATTAAACAAATTATTCAATAGGTTACATTTTTATAAATATACACCATCACAATGCACCACAGTTTACACTAACGTTACAGGATTTATTAGTTTATCTGTTTACCAGTATTCTGTAACAAACAGATACACTATATATTTGCTCTTTGGACATACAGTATTATAGAGTACAATAGGATTTTTCCATGCAGATAACATTTTAACTTGACATATATATGAAAAACAGGTGAAAGCATACAAAAATGTGGATGCATAGTCATCATTATTATCATCATCATCATTATTATATATGTTTTTAGTGGACAGAAAACGGTGCTCCATAGTAATAACCGTCTAGTTTTGCTTACAAGGGCTGCATTTCTTTTTAATTCGGTCGAAGAACTTACCAACAAACATTCAACACTGCTGCACATCTCTGTTAATGTTACGGTTGTTTACGCCAGTAAAGATGTGGAATATTGCAAAACAATACAGAGATTTCATTGCAGCAATTACAGGGCAGGGTACGTTATTTATGTTCTCCTGGATTTTGTATAAGTGTGGTGGTGTTTATATCTGACTTTACATTACATTTACATAGGCCTGTATATAATAATTATTAGTGCTATCAAACTAATCACATTAAAAAAAAGCTTATACACATGGATTTATTAAATAAATGTTAATTACATGCTGCCTTTTCTTCCTTTCTCAGCCAGTTACTTGAACTTTCCCCTCTTTATGAGCAAAAACTTTGAGATCTATAAAAGCTGTTCAGCCTTAATCATTTTGGCCGATTTAAACAATTATAAACAACACAAAACAGAAACATTTTGATGTTCTGATAACGATTCCTATGTAGAACACTTCCTGCCTTCTATCTGAGTCTTGCGCGTCATGTGCACACAATCTATAGTATTTAAAATGTACCCAATATAATCATCTCAAATATATTCAAGTACACAGTATATTTGTTCAACGCATTTCCATGACTTTTCCAAAACATTTTGGGTTTATCTGTTTTGCCAAAACTTGGTTTTCCAGGACCGTATGAACCCTGAACATCAGTGCTATTGTGGTTGCCAGATGCAGTCCAAAGTAGATTAAAAATGTTGGAAATTAAACTAGAAGATCTCTGAGACATTGAGCTGAAAGGTTTTTATCAGGCAATGGGAAGAACGTGAGACTGGGTCTGACTAATAGACTTCATGAGAACAGCAAATTGAATTTTCCGGATGGTTCTTTGCTGACTGACCTTGACCGGCTCGTAGACTTGGGTGTGCGGCGTTCTGCGCTCGCAGACACTTCTTCACCTTGTCTGTGATTTCTTCTACCTGTGCAGATATGCTCTCAAAAGTGACGTCAGTCAGAGGGTTGCAATACTGGTCCACCAAAACAGCACCTAGGATTAGACATTAAACAAATGGAGGTGTTATTTAAAGTAAATATGAAAATAAATCTCAATCACCCATGATAATGGAGCAAATAGGGCTGTGCAATACACATACAGTAAGAAAATGATCATGTAAATTTACATTTACACATTTATATATAGTTGAAGTTAGAATTATAAGCCCTTCTGTATATATTTTCTTAATTTTATCTAACAGAAAGAAGATTTCTTCAACACATTTCTAAACATAATAGTTTTAATAACTTGTTTCTAATAACTGACTTTTATCTTTGCCATGATGAGAGTACAGAATTATTTTACTAGATATTTTTCAATATTACTAGTATTCAGCTTAGTGACATCATTGTATAACAGCGGTTTGTTCTTTAGAAAACGAAAACAAAAACTGCTTAAGGGGGCTAATAATATTAACCTTAAATAGTTTTTAAAAAAATTAAAAGCTGCTTTTATTCTAGCCAAAATAAAACAAATGCAACTTTTTCCAGTAGATACAATTTTATCAGACATACTGTGAAAATGTCCTTGCTCGGTTTATCATTATTTATCATCATCGTTTATCAAAAAAGAATTCAAAGGGGGGGCTAACAATTCTGACTTCAACTGTATGTGTGTGTGTGTGTGTGTGTGTGTGTGTGTGTGTGTGTGTACAGTTAATTCTGGGATTTAACTGAACATCAAACATTTCTTTTCTGTTGTGAGATTTCTGTTGTAAGCTTACCCTCCAGAGCTGATTGTTGTTCAGGTGGTCGCTCAAGAAAAACCTTCAAATTCCTTAAAATGTTCTGCTGCCGGAAGAAGTACAGGATTTTCTTTGCATAGTACTTAAGTGTCAAACTCTTCCTGAGGCCATCATGAGAAAAAAAAAAAGAGGAAAAATTGTAAACAAGTTAAACAGCTTAGGACAAGCTTTCTGCAGGATTCACCCAGTCAAATTTAAGACTTTTATTACAAACAAAATGTCTTATTTTAATTTAATTAACTTTTTTAATGGCCAGTGTAAAGAGTTTTTTACTTGCCCCATTTTTTTATTAAATAAAATAATTTCTTAGCAACATGCTCTATTTTATATAATATGTTAAAACAAGCCAACTCTAGTTAAACACACATACTTTTTCAGCATACATTTTCTTAGAAAAGGCCATTCTGAAAACATTTAAAAAAAAAAAAAAAAACTAAATGTATGCACAACAGTTTGTCTAGGTCAGTTTCCTCACTTGGTAGCTATAAATATATATAGAACATTTAAACAAATGTTATTGTAAGGAAGATAAATAAAATATATTGGTAAATAAAATGACTAATTGTAACTTTTGTTAACGTTTTATTGAGATGGATTGTTTGTTACTGGATGGGTATTGGCCCAAAAAAATTAAGACCTGTTAAGAATTATTTAAGACCTCCAACACCATATTTTTGTGAATTCCAGACATTTTCAAGACTACATTATTATTATTATTCATATATTTATTTATTTATTTTTAATCTAGGACATTTTAAAGGGGACCTATTACGCCACTTTTTACGAGATGTAAAATACATCCCTGATGTCCCTAGAGTGTGTATGTGAAGTGTGAACTTAAAATACCCTACAAATATATTTTTATAACACTTTATCACTGACCCTTTTAGGTTTTGATCCAAATTGTGCCTTTCTAGTGACTGTCGCTAAGGGCGGAGCTACAAACACCTATGCATCCGTATATCGGCAGATTCAAAACAGGACAAACGTTGGTTCTGTGAAAACTGAAAATGTCAAAAGTCTATACTGTTTATTTGTGCATCCTAAAACTCCACATTTACAATGCCTATTAGACATTAAGTGAAAACTCTAATAGTGGACGGCTGCTTCTCACTTAGGCCTGTTTATGCTAATGAGGAAGAGATTGTCACTGATGGGCAGGACTTACCCCCTTGGATGACACATACAAAAAGAGAATGTCAGTCAAAGTGCTTCTGCAGACGTGTTTTACCATTATAGGCAGGCTATAGTCACACATAGTTGCCACACAACTGTTTAAACCTTTTGTAAAAATAATTTTTGCATAGTAGGCCTCCTTTAAGACCCTGCGGACACTCTGTAGATTGAAAATAACTTAAAGCAATAGTTCATTTCCAACCTTTTATCCGAGTTCAAGATGCCAAGCAGCTCGTCCTCACAGAAGTGTTCAGGGGCTCCGAGAGACTCGATTTCTGCAAAACTGTCTCCAAGAACCTGACCGATGCAAGGCTGATTACAGATCTCTGGGTTAGTGACTAAAGCAACAGATTAAATTCAACTTACCTTACAAACACACCTGTGTAACGATAACGGCATTAAGACTGTGATTCTTGTGCAAATGCATAATGATTTATAATCTTAAAACTGTGGCATCTTTCTCCTTTCTCGTAGAGTCACTTACAACTTCAGTGAAGAACCTTTTGGAAATGGACTCTACTGTTCTTCTTATCTGTTGACCAACTGTGTGCCGGGTCTTGAATTCCTTCAGCCAATCGTATGATTCATTCTGCCGGTAAAATCTCTGCAGTCTGGGCCATCTGAAACAATTCAATTCAAGTATGTTTGTAAAGCACTTTTCACAATAATGATTGATCCAAAGCAGCTTCACAAAAGGTGACCATTATCAGAAAAGTTAAGGTGTGTGTGTGTTGACAGTATATATACATAGTTAACCTACAGTTATACAGTTTACTTTCTAAAAGGGTATAAGGTTGAAGTCAGAATTATTAGCCACCCTGAATTATTAGCTCCCTTGTTTCTTTTTTCTCCAATTTCTGTTTAACAGACAGAAGACTTTTTCAACACATTTCTAAGCGTAATAGTTTTAATAACTCATTTATAATAACTGACTTATTTTATCTTTGCCATAATGACAGTAATTAATATTTTACTAGATATTTTTAACATGATTTTATTAGTTTTTTCTTTTTAGACATACACAAAACAAAAATACAAACACGACATAAAATGCCTGACACAAAACATAACTGCATATACTAAAATATGCATATGGCCAAAGCCATAAGCTATTATGTTACAAACATTACCATATGGCAGGAAGAGTGAGAAGTTTGATGAAAACAGAATACACATGAATGAATGTCTACATGGACATTATGTCATTCCGAGTTTCAAAATGTCACATAAAGCAAGGTTTATATTGTCCATAATATATGATGTCCAAGTGCGAATAAATGTATCAGTTGTGGAGTGGCTAAGACATGTTAAGTATTCCAGGGGAATAATCGCTTGAATTATTGAATGCATTTACTAGATATTTTTCAAGACACTTCTATACAGCTTAAAATGACATTTAAAGGCTTAATTAGGTTAACTAGGCAGGTCAGGGTAATTACGCAAGTTATTGTATAACAGTGGTTTGTTCTGTAGACTATTAAAAAAATATATAGCTTAAAGGGGCTAATAATTTTGACCTTAAAATGGCTTTTAAAACATTAAAAACTGCTTTTAATCTAGCCGAAATAAAACAAATAGGACTTTCTGCAGAAAAAAAATATTATCAGACATACTGTGAACATTTCCTTGGTCTGTTAAACATTGTTTGGGAAATATTTAATAAAAGAAATGAAATTCAAAGGGGGCTAATAATTCTGACTTCAATTGTAAGTTTGACCACACAGAGGATGAATATAAATTAATGTAAAATATCAGGGTCTCTGTGACATATGGAGTTAAGGACTAATTTAAAGGGGTAATTCACCCAAACATTCACTCACTATTTTCTCTCCTTCAAGAGCCTGTTTGTTTTTTTCTTCTGTTGAACACAAAAGAAGATATTTAGAAGAAATCTGAAAATCTGAATTTCCTATTCTAAACCATTGAGAATAGAAAAAAAACAAATACTATAGAAGCCAATGGTTACAGGTTTCCAACATTCTTCAAAATATCTTTTTTTGTGTTCAACAAACAAACTCACGTTTGCAAGTGAGGGTGAGTAAATGATGATAGAATTGTCATTTTTCGGATGAACTAGCCCTTTAAGAAGAAAATAAAGGGATCAAATAATTTACAATAAAGTTTGTCAATATGTTATAGTGTGTTAAGTTTCGTATTGAATTTAAAATATTGCTTCTTACCTATAAAGCTTTAAATAATCTAGCTCTTGCTTATCCAACCAACCTTCTGTCTCGCTAGTCGCTACAATCCAACTCGCTCTTTAAGATCTCAAAACTCAGGGCTTCTGGTAATACCTAGAATAGCATAGTCAAGTAAAGGAGGTCGAGCCTTCTCATTTATGGCTCCTAAACTCTGGAATAGCCTTCCTGATAATGTCCGAGGCTCAGAAACACTCTCCCAATTCAAAACTAGATTAAAGACCTATCTTTTTAGTAAAGCATACACTCAGTGCAGCACTTAGCCATATGATACATGAATGCACTCCACGCAGGTTTCTGAATATCGTTTATTTACACTATGAACAGCAGCTACGATAATTATTCTCTCAATTCTCTATTTCCACCTGGGGATACTCATCCCGAGGCCCTCAGACTATGCAGCGCCACTAATTCGATCCAAGGCCAGCGACGAGATGATCCCAAGGTTTCCATAACCTGGACCAGGCCATATCCTGAGCAGCTGCTGTTGTGGTCATGGAGGAGTGGAGAGCATTAGACTGATTCCTGTGATGCTGCAGGGACAGAAGAGTCTTCGCTGAGGTCCAGCTTCCAGCCTCCTTTGCCTAGACTGCAGCTCTGCACAAGACGTTTGGCCAGTGGAGAAATGGTCGTGCCCAACTGAGCCTGGTTTCTCTTAAGGTTTTTTAATTCTTCACTTTCCCCAATTGGTAAAGTTTTTTCTTCGCCACTTTCGCCACTGGCTTGCATGGTTCGGGATCTGTAGAGCTGCGCATTGATGAATGGCTCTTCAGTGTTTGGACTCTAAGTAGTGATTATTGAACCACACTGAACTAAACTGAACTGAACTGAACTTAAACTCTGAAAACTGAACTGACACGATTCAATTTACTATGATCTTCTATGTGAAGCTGCTTTGGCACAATGTACATTGTAAAAGATCTATACAAATAAAGGTGAATATAATACGAATATAACACAATATATATATATATACATATATATATATATATATATATATATATATATATATATATATATATATATATATATATATATATATATATAAATGTGTAAAGTGCTTTGAGTGTCCAGAAGAGCCCTATATAAATTTAAGGAATTATTATTATTATAAATGGAAAATTTTGCAGGTGATGCATTTGGTAAATTCAGTTTACAGAAAACATACAAACAAAAAAAGAGCTTAAATTGTAATAACTTGCATCTGACAAAACATAACTATAATACTAAAAATGTCTCAGCCACAACATCCAGTAAAACACAAGATATTGCTATTATAACATAACATCCACATACATTATATTACCTGAACTATAGGGCTGCACAATATATCATTACAGTGTTGCATTGTGATAATTTGCAATAGTCACATCGCAGTTTTTTCCCAGAAATGGGTTGCAGCTGGATGGGCATCTGCTGTGTAAAACATATGCTAAATAAGCTGGCGGTTCATTCTGCTGTGGTGACCCCCACATTAATAAATGGACTAAGCCAGTAATTGAATAATCAAATGTAAAATAACACTAGTCTTTTATAAATAGTCAAATTAAATTAATTATTATCAAAGTTACAAACGCTACAATTTCTTATGCCTAAATGTTTTTTTAAATCCTCATACACTCACAGGCCTCAAAAACAGCAGATCCTGCGATGTCATTCATTCATTTTCTTTTCCGATACCTGAATACTGTTAGACTTCCCGGAAACAATAAATCACTTATTTAATTTGCATATTTTTTATTGTATTTATCTACGCTTTTACTCTGTAGTTTATTGTATTTTAAGCAGATGCAGTGCCACACAGAACCATCCCAATCAATGTAAAAATAATATACATCCTTTCCAAATAAAGCTAAGTCCTAAATGCTACATTGTAATCGTATTGCAATATATAATGCAGAAAAACAAAATATCCTAATGTCAGATTTGTCCAATATCGTGCTGCCCTACTTGAAACTACACTTTCTTTCAGATTATTTTATCATAATGTTTTAATATACATGAACGCATCAGAGAATAGCATGCAATTCAAGGCAAACCAAGGTCACTTTACAACTAAAAGCAACTAAAAGTGCATGTCGACTTTTAGCGCACAGGAGGTTAACTGTGACATCAAATGCGTCTCTCTCTGTATTTGCACACAGGACAAATTTGGTGCATCAGCAGAATGGGAACACGACCTGACAGCTCCTCAAGTCACGCACTGAATGCACATCTTAAACCACCTCTCAGGGATCCAGCACATTTATTATGGTTTGCTAAACTGAAGGTTGATGGCAGTAAAAAAAGAAGCTTTTTAATTTATTCCACCTGAGTTTGTACTGATGAGCCCAGACCTTTCCCCTGCCATGGCACACGTCATGTAGCCTCTTGCACGTGCTGGAAACGTTGCAAATGTCGACAGGGTTTAAAACGGGGAAGCACAGTATATGCTCTAATATCTCCGCCGGTAAATCGATCAGCTGCTTGGAGAAACGTCCTGAGGTAACCACATTTGTCCCTAAAACTCGATCTCCCGTGTATGGCGTCGCCATCTTTTCTGTTTACTCCGATGACCTCATCGAAGGCCCGCCCCGTTGTCGACGGAACCACGCCCCTTTCTGGTGCAAAGGGCTGAACTTTCAAGAATAGCGGGAAATAATCCGAATGAACCACGTTTGTATTTGAATGTGACACTTAAATGTAAATATAATACATTTAATATAGACTACAGTTTAGAACAGTGCAATTAAACTAGTAAAATAGGAATAACTGACAAAAGAACATGTCTTTTAAAGTAGTTTTATTTATCTGTTTTCATCTTTTAGTCTGTATTTCTGTCTCTGTTTTATTGTAATGATAATGCTATTATTTATTATTTTTTAAATAATATAGTCTTTAATGAGTGGCACAGTGGGTAGCGCTGTCACCTCACAGCAAGAAAGTCGCTGGTTCGAGCCTTGGCTGGGTCAGTTGGCATTTCTGTGTAAAGTTTGCATGTTCTCCCAATATTGGCGTGGGTTTCCTTTGGATGTTCTGGTTTCCCCCACTGTCCAAAAACCTTGCCTCTGAATTGCCTCTAAATTGTGTGTGTGAATAAAAGTGTATAGGTGTTTCTCAGTGATGGGTTGCAGCTGGAAGGGCATCCGCTGCATGCATAAAGTATGCTGGATAAGTTGGCGGTTCATTCCGCTGTGGCGACCCTTAATAAAGCCAAAAAGAAAATGAAAATGAATTAATAAAATATCTATCTATCTATCTATCTATCTATCTATCTATCTATCTATCTATCTATCTATCTATCTATCTATCTATCTATCTATCTATCTGTCTGTCTGTCTGTCTGTCTGTCTGTCTGTCTGTCTGTCTGTCTGCCTGCCTGCCTGCCTGCCTGCCTGCCCGCCCGCCCGCCCGCCCATGTATCCATCCATCCATCCATCCATCCATCCATCCATCCATCCATCCATCCATCCATCCATCCATCCATCCATCCATCCATCCATCCATCCATCCATCCATCCATCCATCTATCTATCTATCTATCTATCTATCTATCTATCTATCTATCTATCTATCTATCTATCTATCTGTCTGTCTGTCTGTCTGTCTGTCTGTCTGTCTGTCTGTCTAGTTAATCATTAATTAATTGTTTTATTTTTAAAACTTTAAATTATGTACAAGTACATATTATTTAGTTTGCTTGCAAGTGGGTTGCCCTAAAGTATTGGATTTTTGGAAATAAATTGCCAGTAAACTGAGAGATTTTATTTATTTATTTATTTATCAACCAGTAACAAAGTAATGGGCAATGTAATTTCTGTGAGTAATTAAAATTGTTTTATGTTAAAAATGTAAATGTTCTGGAGGTGCAGTTTGCTGGCTTGTGAGTTTTCCTGAATAACATGCCTTCTTTTTTGGAAATTAATGATTATTTATTCATTAAAAATGATTATTTATTTATTTATTTCCATGGTCCTGTGCTGGAGGAAGAATCCTACAAAAATAAATAAATATGCAAATGAATAAATCAGTAAATAAATCCATAAATTCCTGCATAAATAAAACAATAAATAATTAAATATGCAAAGAAATGCTAATGAGAGGGTGTGTCTGTGTATTGATCATCTGAAGGTGGTGTTTATGACATCATTGGTTGATCGTTAAAAAATTTTGCATTCGATTTTTTTTAAATGGCTTCTGATGATTGACAGACAGCCTCTCATTGGCATGTTGACCTGAGGAAAAGTAAATATGGAACTACCAATTCAAGAATGACTAACCATTTGAATGGATCTTTGCATTACCTCGCAAAGATGGTTTGTGTTCCCTTTCAAAACTTGTTCCTCTGATTCCTCTGGTTGATAATTATTTTATTATTCGCTTGCCCGCACTATTAATTATTTATATATTTATTTATGCAGAAATTTGTGGATTTTTATATACATTTTTTTATGTATTTGCATATTTAATTATTAATTATTTTATTTCTGCAAGAATCTATGGATTTATTTACTCATTTATTTTTATATTTGCATATTTATTTCTTCATTGTTTTTGCAGATTTCGTCCTCCATAATGCAGAAATTTGTGGATTTTTATATACATTTATTTATTTATTTGCATTATTTAATCATTATTTTATTTATGCAGGAATTTATGAATTTATTTACTCATTTATTTATATATTTGCACATTTATTTATGTATTATATATATTTGTCTAAGTAATCATTAATTAATTGTTTTATTTTGAAACTTTACATTTTGTACAAATAAACAATATTTGGAAATAAAATTAGGACTGAAAAACCTGAATTATTTATTTATTTATTTATTCATTTATTTATTTATCAACCAGTTACAAAGTAAGCAGCCAAATGAGTGAGTAATTAAAAATCGCTTGCTGTTCAAACTTTAAATGTTCTGTTGGTGCAGTTTGCTGGCTTGTGAGCTTTCGAGTAACATTTGAGCTTTTTTGGAAATTTATTTAAAAGTTTATTTTTTTCCATGGTTGTATGTAGTAGTTTATAATAATAATAATAATAATAATAATAATAATAATAATAATAATAATAATAATAATAATACTAATAATAATAATGATAATAATACACACAGGCTTTTAACAGTAACTGAATGACGTGCACTACTGCGCATGTCCTCCCGCCTCCTCGTGCACGCGCATGCGAAGGTACAGCTCATTGGTACAGCTGTAGTTTTAGTTTTGGTCTGAAAGAGTCATACCAACAGCTGTGTTTGTGTGTCAGGTGTTTAAACGAACGTGAATCGCACACACACCGCAGGAATTCAGCTGTGTTTACAGCTCCACAGGTGAGTTCATAACCAGTTTACGACATGTCAGGCCAATTTCGTCAAAAACACTCGCAACAAAACAAAACAATGAGGCATGACACCGTAGATTAGCACAAACAGGTAATTACAAGACGAGATGTTTTGAAATCGCCTAAAAGTTACATGAACGTATAGTTACTTTAGTTTTGTAAAATAGGTTTGCAGTTTCAGATATGTGATGGTTACTAAACTATTTACGCAAATGAGCCTCTTGCTATTGTACGTGTATTGAGCACGTACCTTTCTTTGTAAACTCACGCTGTCTTCTTTATCTCTTATCTTCTTGCAGGTGTAATGGCGGTGTGGAGGAAGTAAAGGGATAATGTATCCAGCTACTAGTTACCTTTTACCGCAGGTGGTTTTGTCGACGTCCTGCCATCAGGCATGCATTTGTCATCGCATTTTTGTTACTAGAGTGTAGCTTTTAAGCAGAGAGGTCATCTCTTTGTTTCTTCATAAGCTATGTTTCAGATAGACAGATAGTCAACAGGTTGTTTCTAAAGAGGAGAACCCATGAGCAGCTATTATGGCTAGTGCCCTTGCATCAAAAATGGGACTCTCTCTTCGGAGGAAGCAAGCCAAAATCTTCAATGTTACAGTTGTTACAATGGATGCTGATTTGGAGTTCAGCTGTGAGGTGAGTGGTACATTAATACTTGCTTTGAATGTCGAGGTAAAGTTGGTTTTATATTTGCACATTAAGAGTGTCACCTTATAATAATTTCAGCCAATTAATCTTCGCAAATTCTAAATCATGAAGTCATATTAGCAACCAATGACTATCAAAGTACAACATTGTTCGTGACTAAATAGTGCCAATGTTGTTTTGAAGTCATTTTTACATGTGACTGCAGATTATTCAGTGTAGCGGAGTAAACTACATTGAGGGTGTTAAAATGAATAAATGTGTGAATTTAAAACCTTTAACTTTACCACAATGCTTTGAATGTGAGCATTTCCAGCGTTAGGGATGTGACATTTGCAATAAACACTCCACACATAAATTGACAGAGAAAGTATATGCTAACATTATTTTGAAAGATCTGTTTGTATTTACCTTAACAACTATAGAGTTATGGGATCCGAAAAATATTAATATGTAAACTTATTTGTACTTTAAATGAGGAAAGTAAACATGAATGTGGCCAAAAAAGTCTGCAAGTTTACAGTCTACAACATGTTTTGTAGAAATTCTGTGAATTAAATTGCACAACCCAAATGAAACAATGCTAATCAAAAGAATAAGAGTTGGCTCTCTATAGAACAAAAATGATTGATTGTGTTTTACATATTTGTATTAATGAGGTAAAAAGCTTTGTTTTGGATGTGACGGATGTGAAATTGCTACTTTTGTGACTCTAGTAGATCAAATATAATTGTTTGAGAACATTGACAGACACATTTTTGAGTATTTTTACAGTCCTGTAAAATACAAGCATACAAAAAAACTTAGAGTTTCACTATTTTGGTAAAAACTTTTTTTTTTTTCCATGGCAATGTTGACATTTGCATGGAATTGCTCATATGTCGCATAAATGCCAGGGTTTATGAATTTTTGCAACATCATGGAATTTTAAGAACTGATAAATTTTATTTGTTTGAAAAATCAGCGATTTTTGTCATTTGACATTTTAACTTTGCATAAACATGTTTTTATTACATGTTTTTTGTTGCATTATTATAATTAGTTTTTTTAAAAAGTTCAGGCTATATTAGGCAAAAGTATTCCCTGACTGAATAGCAAATGTAGTTAATTAGGGTTGCTTGCTAATTACTGTTAAATTATGACCTTTTTGTCTTTGGAACCAGTATTTCATCTCATATTTAAAGTGTTAGATTTATGTAAATTAATAATTGATGTATTCATAATAAAAATGTTAAAACATGCTATAATGAAAATGTTAAAACATGCTATTAAGGATATATTTTTCTTTTTGTCTACTTGGCATTGGCACATTAGGTCATGGAAATGTAGCTTTTCTTTGTCATTTAGCTTAAAGTGGGAACCCTTAAGTTTATTTAGTATGGCAAAGCTCTACAAAAATGCAGGGTTCCACATATTACTGGGCGATTAATTGATTATATGTTCTGAATGTTGATTTCGATTACTTTTCGATCTAGTTTTTCCAGGTAAATTTTTTTATTTACTTTCCCTACCACGTGTGGAGTCACGTGACCCCACTCTGTTAGGGCTAATTTATACTTCTGCTTCAAGCGCACAAGTATGGTCTTCGCACGGGCGCCTCTTAAAAATGTAATTACACATCGCATGTTTGCACTACATTGACGATGTTTGGGAGCTGCGGCAAATATGTCTTGAGACGGCATATTTTCTATAATAATAAAATTATTATTTACATCAAAATATTTGTTTACAGAAGTTTCAAGAAAGGCACTGTTTAAAATCTTATATACAGGATATGCATGAGTTGTTTTAATACTGCTTATTTTCGTATTTTTCTAATGAAATAAGTCATGAAATAACAGGGATCTTTGTCATTTGACTTTGTTTTCCATAGTTTGTATTACATGTTTCTTTACTGCATAATTATAATTAGTAATTTTTAAAGTCTAGCCTATATTAGGCAAAAGTGGTCTCTGACTGAATTGAAAATGTAGTTAATTAGGTTGCCTCCTAATTAATGTTTTAATTGATTTATGTTGGGACAACATGGAAATTGTGTGGAACCTTGCATTTGTTTGACAGTGCACTGTGAAATATGCAGGGTTCAACAATTCTGTCATGTTGTCCCAACATAAATCAGTTAAGTTAACATAACAAATTTAAGTGGATTGAATATAAAACAATAAACCCCCCCCAAAAAAAAGTAAAAAAAAAAAAAAAAATCTCAAGAGTTGTGTTGTTTCAGCTGATTTTAAATAAGTAGTTTGAACTAGCAGCATAAATAGTTTTTCAGTGTATAAATTAGGACTGAAAGCTGCCTATGTGCATATCATATTCAAGTTATATTGTGATAGTAGAGTTATTGTTGCCCATAACCACACCTGTATTGGCAGTGATGAGTTTTGTCATCTGTAACCAGAGGGCATGCAAGCTTAACTCGAGGAAGGCACCAGGCTGTCGTCATTTTAACATTCTGGCTCACTGTTGTCGTGTCCTCAAGCGAGTCACCCAGCCTGACCTGTTTCTCTAGGGAAGCTGCGAAAAGACATCCCTGTCTCCTCAAGCAGATTTATGTTTGAACACAGACAGTTCAGTGGCCCTGAGGAATAGCTCTTCCAGTGGAATAGGAATGGAGATTATTATCTTTTAATATTTTTATTTACTTGTTTGTTTATTAAAAAACAATCTTGTAAAGACAAAATCAGATGTTTGGTATATATAAATGTTATTGCTGTTGTGTAAGGCTTTTAAGGCTCTTTTATAGAACATGGAAGATAAAAGCAAAAACGTTACTGATATTTCTGTAGCCAAAAATAACATTTTATTCTAATAGTTTGTAATGTATGCTGGTGAGATTTGTATAGCATACTCGGAGTTAAATAAGAAAAAAAAAAAAAAAAAAAAAAAAATATATATATATATATATATATATATATATATATATATATATATATAGTTGCTTAGTTTCAAAGCTCTTATTACATCAAAAAATTATGCATCACAGAACAGTGATGATATATAATGATATATAAATAAAGCACAGTTTTCAGACAATTAATGTTTGCTGTAATCAAACCATTTTTTTTAATAATAAAAAATGCTTCTGTCTGGTAAACAATAATTTTAAAGATTAATTTTATTATTAAGATTAGCTAATCTTACGTAAAATAAAAAAACTGATTTCACAACAAAAAGAGACAAGTACCTCAGCCCAAATGCATTTGTTCTGAATAGCAAAAATATTTGTAGTCAAATTTATTGTTATGATATTTTATATAGTATATACACTGCCCAAAAGTCATGACAACAAATGTCTTCACATTAACTTAATATAAAAGTTAATCAGGTTTCAACTATTTAAGTCAATCCAATTAGATTTTTTTTCTAGTTTTGTTTAATTAAGTTACATTTTTTAACTTTTTAAACTTTGTCAGCTTAATCGATCCATGTTAAACTGTTAAAAATTTAAGTAAGCAACATACTTTTTTTACAGTGTACAAAGTTGTCAAAAATGCTGTCACTTTAATATCCAAGCTTTATATATATATATATATATATATATATATATATATATATATATATATATATATATATATATATATATATATATATATATATTAGTTGAACTCAGAATTAATAGCCCCCCTTTGATTTATTGATTTATTTTCTTTTTTTACATTTTTTCCAAATGATGTTTTGCAGGACAGTTTTACAGTATGTCTGATAATTTAAGTTTTATTTGTAAATAAGAATAGAATAAAAGCAGTTTTTAATTTTTTAAAAAACATTTTAAGGACAAAATTATCAGCCCGTTTAAGCTACATTTGTTTTTTGATATTCTACAGAACAAACCATCGTTATAATCACTTGCCAAATTACCCTAACCTGCCTAGTTAACCTAATCTAGTTAAGCCTTTACATGTCACTTTAAGCTGTATAAAAGTGTCTTGTCAAATATTATTTACTGTCTTCATGTCAAAGATAAAACCAAATCAGTTATTAGAAATTAGTTATTAAAACTATTATGTTTAGAAATGTGTTGGAAAAACTCTTCTGACTTCAACTGTATATAGACATGTTCCAGTATAGCCAGTATAGCAGACGACTTGGATGAAATACATTACCAAACACCTCACTGTGTGTTTAGAATAATTAAAATACGTGTCACAGTGGCTTAGTTGTTAGCACTGTCGCCTCACAACAAGAAGGTCGCAGGTTCAAGCTCCGGTCATTTCTGTGTGGAGTTTGCATGTTCTCCCCGTGGGTTTCATCCGGGTGCTCCAGTTTTCCCTACAGTCAAGGGGAAACCGGTTTGTGAATTGGGTAAACAAAATTAGCTGTAGTGTATGAATGTGTGCTTGTGAATGGGAGAGTGTATGTGTGTTTCCTAGTACCTAGTAGAGGCTGAAGGGCATCCGCTGCGTAAAACATATTCCCGAATAGTTGGCATTGGCAGTTCATTATGCTGTGTGATAATCAGGGACTAAGCCGAAGGAAAGTCAATAATTAATATATTTTGAAAATACTCATAACTGCTTGGGCTTGAAAAACTAACATGTTGTTCAGTTTCATGTACTGCTCTTGACATTTGTAGGCCAGTATAGCAGATCACTTGGATGAAATACATCACAAAACACCTCGTTGTGTGTTTAGAATAATTAAAATGTTTTAGAAACACTCATAACCTGCTTGTGCTGGGAAAAACTAAAACAAATATACTCGTCTCAAAAGCAGGCATTTTCCTCTATGGCAGTAATCCTCATTTCCATGTATGAAGGTGTTTTCTGCAAACAGTGAATCCGCTGGGAGTTTCTCCTCTGTGCACTTCATTTGCACATAACATACCCCAAGTTTCTTGCAGGAAGATGCCCTGTTTTTTACACATACACACACACATCATTACAGAGTGTTTTTGAATTAAGGGAAAACAGATGGTGGTAAGAGAATTGCGTGACAGACGGGGACTGTGAGTTAATGTCCCACGAGGCACGGTGCTCCCACTTTACAGGACC